TACAATGGTCACTGGTCAATCCTTCTTACATTCCAGTAAGTAACGGACTACAGTAGTCATGCTTTTTGCCGTTGCACAGGACAATACCCACTCCTGCCTCTGGACTGCCACTACTCTTGGGAACTAATCCACTGTCTGCTGCCATTGGGACCTCTTCTCTGTCCACTGATTACTGCGGCCTGCTGCCATGGGGACTCACATCTGTGTCTGCTACCCCTTAGCCAGGGTCAATGCCATTAGTAGGGCCTGAACTCTTCTCTAGTGTCGCTTTAGATCTAAATGCTATTATTCTGGGATTGCTAGGACTTGATCCAGGCCAACGACGGCATGCCTGGCACTTCCCAACTGGGTAGAAGGTTGCCTTGAGCCTGAGCAGCCACTGCCCTCCTGTTTTTGTTCGATAGCAACACTTTGAAGCTACTCCTCTTGGCATTTGACTCTGCCCTCTCGTGCTTGGAGCAAAGACAAAAAGCAACACAAGCATCACCAGAGTCACAAACTCCTCTAGTCCAGTATACATGCTCCCTTTCTCATACGTTAGCAGTCGACTTTTCTGCTGGAGTTGGAAAAAAATCTCCTGGGGCCTGAGTTCTGGAGCTCTTCAAAGACATCTCACCAGAAACTCCAGAGAATGAGAATTACAATTCACAGTGCATGGATGAGAGTGACTGATGCAGCATCCTGACTTGTCCTCAGCTAATTAAACAGAAATCAGTACATTATTTGTCCATATACCCAGGTCAAGAAATGGCTTTGGGCTCCTGGGAAGAACTAGCCATCCAAGTGTCTCCTCCTATGGCTTGCACCAAAGAACCACAAAAAATAAAAGTAATTTTAAAATTTGCATTGGCAAAATTACAGTTGGTCTCTCAAATTCCAAATTCAAAACAAAACAAAACTTAAACGAGTTTCTTCGTCATATTTGCTAGACAATTCTAAAATTCCAAAGATATGCCTAAGTTTTTATTATCTTACTGTTGGGGTCCCTGCTGCCACCTTCCATGGCAATAGACAACCACCATTTCTAGAGGCATCACCAAAAGTAGGATGAGAGGCCAAGCCCCTTCCCACCCCGACCCCTTCTTTAGCACTGCCCATCCTCCACTCCAAGGAGCTCATTATGTTCTAATCCCCTAAGATTATGGCAATTTTTCTAGGCTGGACCTGACTCAAGTCAGTCCCTTGATAGTTTAGGTTTTGATCTTGAGACCAAAGGAGACGTGTATAAGTCCTTCAATAGTTAACAAGAGATTTGCTTAGACCTAGCAAGAGAAGGAAATGTAATATGGATGGACATTGAAGACTCCATGAGTGAGTTTAGTGCTTCCTTACAGGTTGCGGACCCTCTTCATGGGCCAAGCATCAAAGCACCACTGGAGCTCCTGGTGGCTGCTTTGTACTCAGGTGATAAACTGAACTCAGTAGTCAGAACCTGTAGGCCCCTAAGTCAAATCTCAAGGAATATCTCAGTACTTTTTAAAGAAAAACAACCATCCAAACTTGCAGTGAGAGAGGAGATTAGAATATCACTCCTACTGAGCCTATAGCAGTGAAGATCATAATTCCTGGAGGTCTTTTCATCCCGTGCTTTTATTGCCTGTGCCTTTATACTCAAATGAACATATAGACCCACAGGATGAAAAGAGACTTTATATGTCCTAAAAATAAAGACAAAATACTAAATGTAAGATGTGGTAAAAAGTAGTATCTGCCAGTAAATACCTTGTGGATTGTGTTTTATAACCAAATGCTCCATTAGTATTTTTAGCAGCTAATTATTAATAAGAAGGCTTTGCTGTGAGTCCTCAGGCCCCTACACTTGGTTTTAATCTCCAGGTATCTCTTGTAGGGCTTTCACATAACCCCAGAGACAGCTGCCAGAAAGCATCAGAAAACAGCAACAACAGAAGCACATAATTCTTTAGGTTGGCAAATATAGTTACAGTAAAACTTCATTAATGTGAAATGCAAAGGATGTAGCAATGTGACAGACTTTGAATTAACCAGATTTGGTCGGTCAGTTATTTTTATTAAAGAATAATCATGTGCCCAGCCAGGGGAAGAATTAAAGTTGCTTGGAATTATAGACCACATTCAACTCTCAATTATCCATGACTGACTTGACTCAATCTAGGATGCCGTCAGTAATAAGCATCCCAGAGGACTGGGGCTGAGAAGGGCAAAAAATGGAGGTGGGGAGCTGACATTCTATTAGCTGATAGAACCTCATAGGGTTAGGTTTGCCAGAAAAACTTTATTATTCATTAACTCACTGGACACAGGTTAAAATAGTTTAAAGACCATTTGTATTACGACCAGTTGTGATTTTAGTCAAGTTCTTTAACCTCTCTGGCCCCTTTTCCTCATCTCTAGGATTAAAAATAATAACAGCAACTAACATTTCTGTGGGTTTACTTTACAATTATTCTCATTTTATCCCCATGACAACTCTAGGGGGTGGGTGCTATTATTAGGCCCATTTTTCAAATGGAGAGGTTGTACTAGAATTCAGAGGCATCAAATACCCAGCTTATTGGCCTGCAACACTCCTGAGTTTAGCCCAAACCAGGTTAAAATGTAACTGGGAAATATCAAACAAAATACATTTTAAAAATACAATAGAACATAGACAATGTTAACGTGGTTTTCCAAGTCAAGACGTCGCCACAGAGATTGTTACGTACAATTTAGTGCCCCTTGATATTTGAGTTTGACACCACTGGACTAGATGACCCCAATGGTCCTGTCCAGCCCTAAATTCTATAACCCCTTGAACCTGTTCTTCACTGTTAAGCTTGATGTAAAGTGCTGTGAAGTCACAAAATGTCAGGTGCAGTCAAGTTAAAAATTCAACAAAAATACCTCCAAAATTAAGATGCAACCTTTCTGAGGTAGGCTATTATTTAAGTGGGAGTTTAAGTTATGCCTGCTATGACACCTTTCCTTTAGTACCATATTTCTATTAATTTATTTTTATTGGGGGGAGGGGAAGCCAGGCAAGAGGAATGATTAGCTAAACAAACACACCAATTTAAATTGTTTTCTTGAACCTTGAAACACAGAAAACAAGAAACTATATTTAAGCTTTATAGGTTATATACACATATGTAATACATATGCTGTATTTATCTGCGAATATGTTGTTCTTTAATCTCAAGTTATACCCTTAGTCAAGTCAATAAGTACTTAAGTACTCCTTAAGTGCCCAGCATTACCCAAAGTCCTGGGAATATAAATACAAGCAGAATGACAATCCCTGCTCTCAAAGAGCTCACATTTGGTGGTGAAGACACTTATAATCCGCAATACATAAAATGTAGCTGAAAAAAGGGGAGAAGGTACCTGAATTTGGGGCATACAGTAAGGGCTTAATATTTCCTGATTAACTGAGTTGAAAGGTCAGCTGAGCATCTAAAGAAGTCCAACTCTTTCCTTCTCAATGTGTTACCTCCTGATAGTGAGGTAATTTATCATTAACATTAATGATAATATTAATAAATAACTATCATTTTATCGCTTTTGAAGGTTTGCAAAACGCTTTATAAATAGATTCTCTGGTGATCTTCACAACCCTGGGAAGTAGGTGTTATTATCATCTCCATTTTACAGTTGAGGAAGCTGGAGCAAATAGAGGTGAAGTGACTGGCTCAGGGGGTGGGGCTGGATTTGAATTTGGATTTTCCGAACTCCATAGCCTGCGCTAGAGCCGCCACTCCACGCACAGCCTCCCTCGGTTAAAGGCCAAGTCCCCGGAGACCGGCAGAAAGCCCCAAAGCCTGAGCCGCAGGACTAGCAGGACGAGCACGGGGATCGCGGCTGTCTCACCACATGAGGCCGACTCACCACGTGGGGCCGCCAAGGCTGTTGCCAGGGACGACGACGCCGCGGCTGCGTCCGCAGACGTCGACGTCCTGCTCCCGGAAGTGAGTCTGTCGGCGGGCTGCGGAGCCTGGCTGCTGACGTCCAGGTAAGCTGAGGGGACGCACGTGCTGTGGTTGAGTGGCCGCAGGCGCCACGGACGCCGGGTCCCACGCACCTGGGCCCAGACAGCTGGGAAAGCCGGCAGCCTGGGAGGAGCTGGGGAGACCCTGGAAGGCCGCTGGTCCTAGGGGCCGTTGCTCCCTCACGGGGTGGGGGGGAGGGGGGCGGGGAGGTCGGGAGCAGACATTGGCCAGGCCGGGGCTCTTGGCCCCTCGAGGGTAGCGGGAGGGGGGATGAGGTGGGGGAGCAGGGAGGTGATTTCTGAGGGGACTTTGGAGTAAACCCGACCCTGGACACTAGGGGTCCGCGAGGTGAAGCTGTAGCGGAACTTGCTTTGTGCGCATGCGCATCCGTCCAAGGAGTGCTGAGAGTTGATCCAAGCCGGCTGCCGTAGTTATTGATCATCGCTCCCTTCTCTGTTGTGCCGGTATCATGGGCGCATTCCCCATGCTGGAGACCTCTCCGTAGAGAGATTCGGGGTATATCTATGTGACCCTGGGCAGGTCATCTAATCTCTGCCTGCCTTGGTTTCCCCTTGTGTAAAGTGGGCACAATAATAACACCTACCTCCCAGGGTAGTTGGATCAATCAAACGAAGTGATATTTGTAAAGCACTATCTCCAAAAGCTAAGTGCTAGCCGACATTATTAGAGGGATCCATTCTGGGGATGGTCGTTCCCCTTCTGTTGTCAGTATTGTTTTTAGGGATGATAGGGAACCGGTCTGGTTTCCCTGGTATGGAGAACTTTCTCTGTTAATGCTCAGTGGTATCTGCTTTGCAGTTTATTGTCCACAGAAGGCATTGAGTGTATAGGTGACTAATTGTTCAGGGTTGCAGAGTCACTGCGTGTCCGAGGAAGGGCTTGCACTTAGGTCCCCCCGAGGCACTGCCTCAGTATCCATTAAGCCTCCCTGCCTCTTTAGGCATGGCTAAATGATCGTAGGATTATATATCTAGAGCTGGAAGAGACCGTAGAGGTCGTCTAATCCATCTTCCTCATGTTACAGAAACTGAGGCTGCAGAGGTTGTGACTCCACCGAGGTCACACAGGTAGGAAGTGTCAGAGCTAGTATTGGAACCTCTGCCCTCTGACTCCAGATCCAGTCTGGATCTACCTCACATGCTGCCGCCTCCACAAGAAAGTAATAAAGAAACAGGCAAGTCCCATTTCTCCCAACAGTCATGCTTGGTAAAAGAAACATGACTAAGCATTGAGAAACATTGCTTTCTGAGGAACTAACTTGGTTCTTTTGTGGCCACTTGCCCCTAGGGCCACAAGGGAATGTGTTTTTCTCTGGCACTGAAGAGGCTCAAAGTGGGAGATACAAAGTTCACGAAAGGAGGGGAAAGAAAGTCTTTAGAAAGGGGCAGGGTGAGTGGGTTTGTAATACAGAGGAGTGAACAAAGTAGAATGGGGAGAAAAATATCAGAAAAAGAAAAGCGGAACTTAAAAGATGATCTTGTTTGTAGCCCAGCACCTATAAATTAGCTTAGTCAAATTGTGAAAGTGGGCAATTAGTGAGAAAATGTGGAGCCCAGGAAATGAACATTTTTTTTGTTTTAAAATTATCAGTGCCCCAAATCTGTCGTTCAATCATTTTTCAGTTGTGTCCAATTCTTTGTGACCCAATTTAGGGTATTCTTGACAAAGATAATAGAGTGATTTGCCATTTTTTCCTCTAGCTCATTTTACAGATGAGGAAACCAAGGCAAAAAAGGTTAAGTGACTTGTCCAGGGTCACACAGCTAATAAGTATCTGGGGCCAGATTTGAACTCAGAGATGAGTCTTATTCCCAGCATTCTATCCACTGCCCTGCCCCAAATCTGGAAAGGATGATCAGTTTCTATTGGTAGAAGAAAAGCTTAATTTCTTTTCTCCATTTCCTTCATAGTTAAATAATTCAACAGTTGTGTACATCTGGGTAAAAACCTTGTGAATCTAACTCATCATTTGTTTAGTATCTCTTCATAGTTTTTCTCACTGAGTGTCATTGGCATTTCTTTTCTTTAGATGCTGAGGAATCTGTTCTTGGGGCATAGAACACTACTCTCTTGCAGTTGGAGTAGAATCTCCCTTTTGAAGAAGTATCTATTCACAATGAAAGTAGAGTCACCAGAATTTCAGTCCCTTTTTACAGAAGGACTAAAGAACCTGACAGGTAAAGAGATCAGGATTTCCCTTTTTAGGTTTGGTTCCTTTGAATTAAGGAACATGGAATTTAATGAAGATTTCTAGTGTCCTAGCCAACTTTTAATAATTTGATATGATCAAGGAAAATATAAAATCACAGATGACCCACTGGCATGAGTATAAATTGTCTGTGGAGCCAGCTTCCTTAGTGTGTTGGTCCAGTTTATGCCCATATGGATAGGATCGTTGTGGAGAATTATTTGGATTCCTGTGGGCAGATGAGGTTTGAGCTATGCCCTTGGCTGCCTTGGTAGCACACTGAAACTCACTGTTTCCTGAAGCATTTTGTTTCACTTCTGGATGACTTCATTTCTTAGGAAGTTTTTCCTTCTGGCCAAAATATGCCACATTCTACCTCCTTAGGATCATACATAGATTTGTAGGTGAAAGGACTTTGGAGGTCATATAGTCCAGCCCTTATTTTACAGATGAGGAAACTGGTCCAGAGAGAGTCTCAGTGTCTTATCTAAGGTTAAATATTAGTGTCAGAGCCATGATTCAAATAAAAAATCTGGCTCCAAATCCAGCATTTATTTACTATGCCACTTCAGTATATCACTGTTAGTTCTGCCCTCTGACACCAAGTAGTAAAAATCAAATCTCTTTTTCCTGGGACCACCTTTCAGATGCTTGAAGATAGTCTTCCCTTCCCTCACACCCTACTTGATTTTCTCCAGGCTGAATATCCCCATTTCCTGTACCTGATCTTGTATGGCATTATCTCAGTGCTTCTCACCATTGTGTATGCTCTACAGCACAGGCTTCAATACGGCCACTGCCCTCAGCTGCCCACTGCCTCCAGATCCATTCCATGTATTTGAACACGTGTGTTCTTGTACCCAGCCACAATCACATCATCCATTTAGCCCAAGACAGGACCACAATACCTAACTATCCATCTTGACTAGACAGGACCACAATAGCTTGCCAATCAGAAAACAGTACAACCAGAATGTTTGACTACCGAACCATAGAAGGGACCTCTTCCCCATTATCTAATCCTTTAACAGACCCCTCCTGCCTTTTTAATATTCATAATTTCTGTTGTGTAATTGCATCTGTACCCTGTAAAAATCCATTTTGCTTTCTCTGAAGCAGCTGGTTCTTCTTGGAACCTAGCTCACTTCTGAGGGGTGTCAGTTCTTAATAAATGCCTATACTTGGATTAGAGGTGGTCTGACTCCAAATTCTTTGAGATGGTGCTGCCACAACACACCATGAAACTGTAACACTTCTCTTCCTTCTCTATTTTTTCTCTTTTTTGAAGACAAAATGAAAAATAGCACCTACCCGTAAAGGACCTTGCACTCTAATAATTAGAGTTTCCTTACGTTCACATTGTCATTTTTATTTGAAATAAATCATGCATGACCAAATCAGATCTCTGAATGGGATATCTTGAGATCTAGGTCTACTTCTTTCTGCTGTAATTAACTTGATATGTAACCTTTAACATCACCTGCCTAGTTATTTTAGCCAGTTCAGCATGAGAAATTGGTTTTAGCATTTATAATTATCTTACTAATCCTGTGTATACATCGACTGACAAGGTCAGCTTACTTGTTTTTTTAATTCTAAAACATAAATTGAGTTTCTCAACTTATAAGGAAGGAGATTGTTTTTTATACTTGTAGAGAAAGCTGCTGCTTTTTTTTTTTAATAAAAGAAAAACCTAGTGGGTTATCATTTCACTCCCAGATGAATAGTTAAGTGTACTTGCTTAAATGACTTCCTCTAGACTTTTTAAAAAGTCATTAATGAACATGTTTCTGAATGGTTGTCCTTTACTCCTGAAATTTATAATAAGTAATATTTATGGAGGGATCCCTCAATATGGATTAATATTTAAAAGGAAAACATAGATAGGATAGTTAATGGCCCATTGCAACCTGTTTATGAAAAAATTGCCCCTCCTCCAAAAAAAAAAGGTTACATGACAACAGTAAAGTATTTTTAAACTTGGAAAATAATAAGAAATAATTTATTTAATTGAAAATATAATTGGTTTTTATCTGTGCTGCTTCCTGGTGCTTTTTTTATTACTAATAATAATATTCTTATTAATATATATTTGGAAACTTAAGACTTTTTATTTTTAAATTACTTTCCTCCATAACTTCATTATAACCCTGTTACTTAAGAGGAAAATAAATAAGTTTTGTTTTTGTTCCAGAGTTATTCAATAAAGAAAAATATGAATTAAGAATAGCAGGAGGAGCTGTGCGAGATTTATTAAATGGAACAAAACCGCAAGATGTGGACTTTGCTACCACTGCCACTCCAGTTCAAATGAAAGAGATGTTCCAGGCTGCTGGGATTCGTCTGATCAATAACAAAGGAGAAAAACATGGAACTATTACCGCCAGAGTGAGTGAAGATTTGGCTAGTTCTTTGTGATTGACAGCTGTGACATAATTCCTTTGTTTTCAAAACAGGAAAAACTTTGTACAAGAAATTCCTTCCCCTCCTCACCCCCCCTCCAGGTTTTCCTGACTGATAGAATTGAACAGTATTACCCACCTTTTGTCTTTTAAGTCTCAGAACCCTTGCATGATGGATGTTGTCTGTTCTTTGTTTGGACCAGTTTAGCCCCACTTGAGCTGGGCAGCTTCAGTTCAGTTGAACAGACATTTTATATTGAGCCTCATTGTCTCACAGTCTCTCCTGCCTCAGCCTGGGATTGTATTGCTCATTTGTAACATTACAATGAGAACTAATTTGTACCATTGTTTCATTTATAGTGTTTTCAGGGAAACAGTTAATGATATTTGGTTATGTTTGTATAGAAATTAGAGGGAGGAAATACTAACAGACTTTCAGTCATCGTTGGAAAATTTTTGGCTATAATGAATGTCCTGTAGAAGTAGGATGTGAAGGGCAGCTAGTTAGCACCATGGATAGAGCACTGGTCCTGGATTCAGGAAGACCTGAATTGAAATCTGGCCTCAGACACTTGACATTTACTAGCTGTGTGATGCTGGGCAAGTCACTTTACCCCATTGCCTTGGGGGGGAAAAAAAAAGAAGTAGGATGAGATTTTTTTTTTATTGCCTAGAATTGGGATTTTATGTTCAGCTTTGCACAAACTCCTGTGTAAGTCCCACTTTGGTGTCTCATTTTGGTGTGAAGGGCTTTTAGCAAGCTGGAAAGGCTTCAGGTACAAGCCTGGCAATCTCTGTCATCTGAGAACTAACCTAGGCACTTCACCAGTAAGTAAGTTGAGCACTTGGTAATAAATTTCTTCAGCCATAAAAATCTCAGAAAAAGGCCTCCAATACAGGAGGGGTTGTAGTCTGTGGAGGTGGAGACAGTACTCACACCCACAAAATCCTGTGAGTTCTTCAAGTATTGAAACAGCATTGCTGCCAGTGAATGGGCCATTTAGGAAATGCCCATCCATCTTGAAGTTGGACTTGATTAGTCTTTAAAATACTCTGCTAATTTGTAAGTATTTGGATGGATGAAGATATGTGTGATCCAGATTGAACCAGTGTTCTCTGCCCTTTGTATTTAATAAATTTGAATGGGATAAGATAAATGAATAGGTGCCATGGATTGCCTTCGAATTATAGTGATGGGCCCGAGGAGTTGTAAAATAAAATGATTAGTGAGTCCCAAGGGGAAGAGGTAGGTAGTAACTAGATGGGGCATCAGAGAAAGCTTCATGGGTAAGGAATCATGGGTGAGTTTCAGAGTCTTTATAAATCCATTCTGTGTCAGGTTCATTGTTTACATCAAAATAAGTAATACACTGTGTTTAATATGATGGTACATATATAGCCTTTATCAGACTGCATGCTGTCTTGGGGAGAGGGAAAAAATTTAGAACTCAGAATCTTAAAACAGTGAATGTTGAAAACTAAAAATAATTTTAAAAAAAGAAGTAATATATTATTTGATTGAGAGGGCAGGGGTTAGTTTTGTATTTTAAAATTTGTAATCTATGCAGGAGAGTTTGTTTATAAAGAAACTAGGCATGCATCAGATTCTCAGGGCTCCTAGATCTGACAACTAACAAGTACTTCTTAAAAGAGCCTACGCTGTCCCTGAAGCTGTACTGAGTAAGTACCAGGGATACATAAGCAAAAATATAAATAGCCCCTGCTCTCAAGGAGTTTACATTCTCTCAGGGGATAACATATACATAGATGAGATACACTAACACATACATATATATGTACATAAATTATATAAAATAAAAGGTAATTAAAGCAGTTAGGTGGCTTAGTGGATGGAACACTGGACCTTGTCAGGAAGACCTGAGTCTAAATCCAGCTTCAGACACTAGCTCTGTGACCGTGGGCAAGTCATTTAATCTCTCTTTGCCTTAATCTCTAAAAAGGAAATGGCAAACCACTCTTATCCTTGCCAAGAAAAACCCACGGGCTGTATTGGCATGCTAGGGTCTACAGGGTCACAGAATCAGACACGACTGAACGACAATTATTTGAAGAGGGAGGAAATAACAGTTGGGGAAATGAGGAAAACCTTATAGAGGGTGGCATTTGAGCTGAGCTTTGAAGGAAACTAGGGAGATTTTGAGAGGGGAAGATGAGGGAGTGCCTTCCAGACCTAGGGGACAGCCATGCAAAAGCATGAAGATAGCAGGTGGAAGGGTGTGTTGAGGAACACCAAGAAGGCCAATTGGACTAGAGACGACAAAGAGGAAGGTATAAGAAGGCTGTACGAATAAAGTTACCGCTTCATTTAAAAGCTGTTTGTTTTGTTTTGTATTTTTACATTCAGCTTTCTGTTTGTATTCATATTTGTTGCAGCTTCATGAAGAAAATTTTGAAATCACGACACTAAGGATTGATGTCATTACAGATGGAAGGCATGCAGAAGTGGAATTCACGACTGATTGGCAGAAAGACGCTGAGCGGAGAGATCTCACCATCAACTCCATGTTTTTAGGTAATTCGTGAGACTCAACAGATTGTAGCACAACTTTAAGTTAGGCAGTGTGCCTGCTATGTGCCAGGCACTGACAACAAAAATTCAAACATGTCTCTGCTCTCCAGGAGTTTCTAGTCTGTCAGGTGAGATAGCATGTACATAGATAAGTGGAGACAGAATACCCAAGGATCACAGTAAGAAAGCCTCTGATCTGGACTTCTAGCTTAGAATTAATCATTATGTCAGTAGTTATTAGTAATGCTGCTATAGGGACATAAACCGGGGTCTAGGAAGCTCCCTTTATCAGTGTGCTCCAGCACTGTCTCGATAATTCCCAGTCTTACAGGGTTGTCTGGGGGGACGCTGAGAAGTTAAGTTGCCCAAGGTTATTATTAGGCCAGTATGTGTCAGAGAGGTAGGGTCTGAAACCAGGTCGTAATGATTCAGATGGCTCTCTGGTCACTGTGCCCTAAGGCAACCGAGTCTCTTATTCTGTTGTAACTTTCTAAGTAAAGAAAAACATATAGAATAGGTCACTGAGAAGCTTAAGTTTCTTATTAGATAGAAACAATAAAGGTAGAAGTTTTTGTGTAGACATCTACCTTAGCAGGTACTTTGGAGCATATTTTTAAACTTTATTTTAAAGTTTAAGTGGGCCCCCTAGACTTGTGCCTTCAGCTTTGTCTGTAAAGGTAGAGCTAAACATTCAGTCCTAAGCATCACTTAAGTAAAATGAGCTTCACGGAGTAAAGTGTAGAGTAGATTGTGGACACAGCAGCTGGTGGTGCTGCTGCCCTTGAGTTCTCCTGCTTCCATTCTAAGGCACATAGTAGTGTTGTTCTGACAGTTATTTTGTAATAGGACATCTAGAGCAAGAAAGAAGCATAGATTTCATTCAGTCTGGTTTTTTTTGTTTGTTTGTTTTTAGGCAATTGGGGTTAAGTGACTTGCCCAGGGTCACACAGCTAGTAAGTGTCAAGTGTTTGGTGTGAGGCTGGATTTGAACTCGGGTACTCCTGACTTCAGGGCTGGTGCTCTATCCACTGCGCCACCTAGGTGCCCCTCAGTCTGTTTTAAAGATGAAAAAACTGAAGTCCACGAACCCTGGTTATTAGCCCATAGTTTTGCAAACTGTAGGGAGAACAGTTGGGCTTTGTTCCGGTATCCTTTGATAGCTCCCAGGGCCCTTGCTGCCACACCATGCCACCTTGAGCACTTTGATATGAAGCATTTTCTTCACAACAGTCCTGTGAGAATTAAAGTAATTATCAGGATTTACAGAGTAGAAATTTGTCTTTTGTTTTTATACCGTCGGCTGATGCTGTTATAACATTACAAAATAGAATGGTACCTAATAAAGATGAATCCTACAGAAGAAGTCTAACTAGGTCCAGGTAAGAACAGTAAGAGAGGAGAAACCACCTTGGAGAGAGACTGGGAATTCTCAGTCTAACAGTAAAAACAATAAAAGTCAGTAGCTCCAAAGAAGCCACTTTTCTTCCTGGCACTCAGGACATTCTCCTAATTACCACCTCTGAAAAAAGGAAAAAAAAAAATTAAAAGCAAATCAGCCCTTTTTTATAGATGAAGAAACTGAGACTCAGTCAAGTTAAATGACTTACTTGATATCATATGGCTAGGAAGTAACAAAGGTTGTACTGAAACTTAGATCTCTTTTTATTGATTTTGACATAGGTAAGGATAATTTTATTTTTCCTAGCTACTTTTCAACATTTCTACTAAGCTGCCGTCAGGTAGGCAGTTGTAATGCTTTACTAAGGCCTCATTACCCAATAACCTGAGTTCTCATTAAGTATAATTAACTTTAAAAATTAGTGTGATTTTCTGTGATATCCTTTTTAAAAAAATCAAATTCTGCATTAAGGTAGATGATAATAATCATAGCTAGTATTACTAATTACTGCATTTTAAGAAGTTGATGTACAGCAAGATTTAAAGAACTACACTTAGTCATAATTCTGCATATTTTTCACTTATTAATTTGTACCTTTTTGTAATTGTACCTTTTTGACTAGATTTGAGGGAAACGAATCAATTTGAATTTCTTAAAATTAATTCAAAACTTTATTAAAAGATAGCTTTTGGTTTAGGCATGTTTGTCTACTGAAGAAAGGGAGTCATTTTCTCCCTTACTTAACTCCATCTCTTTGCCCTTTGAAGTTAGAGCCTATCATAGTCATCATCTACGTTGAATGATTCCTTAATAACCATCATGCACAGGGTTAGATAGGAAACTTAAGTTTTGTAAGCTTAAAGCTGAACTCAAACTTAGCAGAATATTGTCTTGGAGTACATTGAACGCTCACATACATTAAACAGCTTAATACCATACATTAAGTGTTATGTGATTGTACATATATAACCTATATCAGACTACTTATTGTCTTAGGGAGGGATAGAATTTGGAACTCAAAACTTAAAAAAAGGTTAAAAATTGTTTTTATGTGCAATTGGGAAAATAAAATATTATTTTAAAAAATACACTAAACAACTTAAACTTGGAATACATTAAACAACTTAACCAGACTTTAAAACAGTAGCTTCATTACAGTGATACCAATGACTTTTCCATGGTACCATAGCATCACATAAGAGGTGATGTGTTACTCATCTTGTTCCTTCTATGGTAGGGGGCAAATGGTGTTATACTAACTAGTTCTTTCTTTTCTGGGTAAAAAGTCCCCGATCAAATTACTACTTTGAATTCATACAATTGTATGATGTAAGTCAATTAAATATTAGTGTGTCGTGTTGTTAAAAATCCTAAGAAAAATCTCTTATCACAATAGGTTTTGATGGTACCCTCTATGACTACTTTAATGGCTATGAAGATTTGAAAAATAAGAAAGTTAGATTTGTTGGAAACCCTAAAGAGAGAATTCAAGAGGATTATCTTCGAATTTTGAGATATTTCAGGTAAAATAAATGTGATTAAGTAGTTGTGTATTTGGTCAAATTACTATCTGAGCACTCTTCTAGGAATGTTTGCTTTATCTGTACACTAAGCTGATTGGATGGTTGTTGGTTGTTGGCCTTCATTCTTGAAGAGGACCAAAATGACATCACTGTGTTTGGAGCCAAGGCACAGTGTGTCTAACTGGCTGATCAGAACAATACGAGCTCAGAATCATCTACCACAGGTCGGGCACAAATAGTCCACAGAAACATTTGGAATGGAGATGCCCTAAATTTGTGCATCTCACATTTCTTTTGAGCTACTGCAATTTTGCTTCACTTAGAGAGCACGGCACCTTCTTTGATGTGGGTACGCCATGGTGGGCTGTCCTGTGCCAGTGTCTCCCATGTCACACAGTCGATTACAGAGTTCTACAGAGAGACCTTTAGAGTGTTTTTGTATTGCTTCTTCTGACCTCCATATGAGCACTTGCCTTGTGTAAGTTCTTCATAAAATAGTCTTTTAGGCAAACGTACTTTGGGGATTTGAACAATGTGGCCAGCCCATCAGAATTTCACTCTCTGAAGTAGGCATTGAATGCTTGGCAGGTTAGCTAGAGAAAGGACCTCACTGTCTGGTATCTTATCCTGCCAGGTGATCTTCAGAATCTTCCTAAGACAATTCAAATGGAAGCAGTTCAGTTTTTTTGCCATGGCACTGGTATATTGTCCAGGTTTCGTAGGCATACAACAGAAGCCAGCACAGCAGCTCTGTAGACCTTCAGTTTGGTAGGCAGCCTAATACTCTTCTCTCCCATATGTTCCTTTGGAGCCTCCCAAACACTGAGCTAGCTCTGGCAATGTGTGCATCAACCTCATCATCTATGTGTATATCCCTGGAAAGTATACTGCCAAGGTGAGTGAACTTATTCACAGCATTCAAAATTTCCCCATTTGTTGTAACCAGTGATTCCATGTATAGATGGTCTGGTGCTGGCTGTTGGAGAGCCTGTGTTTTCTTCAAGTTAATTGTTAGGCCAAAATTAACATATGCATCAGAGAATCGATCCAAACTTTGTTGCATCTTAGCTTTAGAGGCTGCATTGACAACACAATCATCTGTGAATAAAGAAATCACGTACCACCTCTCCCTCCATTTTAGGCTTGGCTTATAGCCTTTTCAAGTTAAATAATTTACCATCACTGTGGCAGCTGACCTTGATGCCATGTTTGTCCTCATTGAAGGCCCTCCTTAATAGACTGATCCATCAGCTGAAAGATGGTCATCTGCCTGAGAGCCAGTGTGGTTTCAGAAAGGGCTGAGGAACAGTCAATATGGTGTTTGCTGCCTGATAGCTCCAGGAGGAATGCCAAGAGTAGAACAGAGGTCTGTACACAAACATTCGATGATGTGACCAAGGTCCTTGATAACTGTCAGTTGTGAGGGCTTGTGGAAAATTGTCAAATTTGGTTGCCTGAGAAGTACTGAGGATTATACGTCAATTTCATGCTGGCATGCTTGTCTGGGTTCTGGAAAACGGACATTGCTCTCATGCTCTTGCCATGGCACTGGTATGTTGTCCAGATTTCATAGACATGCAACAGAGACCAGCACAACATTAAAAAGGTGATATTTTCAGCGATGTTGTCAGATGCTACAAGGAAGACAACTTAGAGACCGTGGCAGTGAAAACTTGCAAATATGATTGCTCCCCTGCCACAGCTGAGTAATCATAGGAAGCGGAAGATAGACAGAGATCTTGATTTTTAAAAGGGGAGAAGAAGATATGTCTTGGAAATTATGGCAATTTCAGTGCCATAAGGCCCTACTAGACTTACCTCTTTCCTACTTGAACAGGTGTTCAGCTGTTCCTCAACTAAAGTTTTCTACCATTGTGTCATCAGGGCATGGAGAAAACCTGGGATTCTCAAGAGGAGTGTAAATTTTGCTGGATGCTATGGAACTGAAAAGCTTCAAGTGCTAGTGTCCTAGTGATGGTATACTGTCAAAGGACCCACCGAGTTAAGTTCATAGAGGCCCATTAGCTAGGATTAGCTAGGTTGGCCACAAGCTGCTGAACCTGAAAGGCTCAAATCTCTCAACTACCACATAACTAAATTCTAGAGGGGGCTGTGATCTTTTTTGGTAGACAGAAGGCCCATACTCACACAATTCCTTGAAAGATTGATGTGATCTAGACTGGTAAATGATGTGAGAGCTATAAATGGTCTCTACAGATTTGACAAAATCTCTCATGATAGCCTTTTTGAATAAGGTAGGAAAATGTGGTATAGTGGAAAGAGCCCTGGATTCAGTCAGGATGTGGATTCGAAGGCTGGCATTGACTTACTGCCCTATGTGACTTTGGGAAATTCACTGAAGAGTCTCTGCTTCATTTTTTCATTGAAGTTGGACTAAATGATCTCTAAAGTTCTTTACAACTCTAAATCTATGATCCTTTCAACCTCTGGTTAGAGAATAATGTACTTACATGAGGAACGAAAGCCAAAGGATATTGAGACTGTGTTGATGTGGAGGTGATGTCTTGAGTTAAGTGCCACAGCTCAACCCTTCTGTGCTCTATTTTTTTGTCAGGGACTTGGCTGAATGCCTAGATGGCATGCTTATCACATTTGCAGGTGATGGGAAGTGAGCAATTAAGCAATAACCTGTTAGAGCCAAAAAAAAATCTGAATAAAATGATGAGGTGAATATGATAAGATGAAACTATTCAGGTATAATTGCAAATTTGTGCACCTCACTTCAAAAATAAACATTGACCAAGACAAATATAGGAGAGCAGCGTTGTAGCTAGGTAGACATTCGTGTAGAAAAGACATAGGAATTTTAGTTGGATGCTTTTTTGATATGAGTCATCACTGTGATGTGGTTGCTTTTTAAAAAGGCCAATGTAATCTTAGAGTGCAGCATAATATCTAGGAAAGAAAAAAACTGGGGATGATTCTACTGTGCTCTCTTGGTTAGACCACAGTTGGAGTATCATGTCCAAGTCTAGGCCCCACATTTTGAGAGGGCCAATGTCGAGTTGGAGTATGGCAAGGAAGATGAAAGAACCTTGACATAATCTCTTGGGAGCTAGAGATGAAGGGCATAAGATGTGGATGCAGGCTAAAGAAGAAAAGGCTTGAAAAATTACTATGGAATTTTGAAGAAGGATTTTGGTTTTTAAGATAGCAGGACTAGGGCAAGTATTTGGAAATTTAGGGAAGTTTGATTTTAGTTAATAAACTGTTTAAAAAAAAATATTGTTACTTTCTGCCATACAGAGTTTTATGTCCCTGGAGGTATTCAGTTAAAAGCAGAATGATCAGTTGGGGAAAGATTTCTATGTTAAGAAGTAATTGAACTGAATGAGCTAAGATGTTTCTTCAGATCTCAAGTTTGATGTTGATTCAATTAATTGTTCTACCTACTTGCATTATCAAACTTTTATTTTTGTTTGGTTGAGAAATGTTTCCAATCTACTGTGTGATGGTATTAGCCTTACCAGCAAAAATTGAAGAAAAGAAATATGTCCTGAAAAATTTCAAGTAAATACTCTTGTATGCCTACTTTTGTGAATGGGCCCAAAGCCTCATGCTTTGTTTCCCCTTTGTAGTGTAAACCTGTGACATTTTCCAAATTATTATTATTCTCTGGCCCTCATCCTTCTCATTCATCTCTAAATTAAATGGAGAGCAGCATTTCAGGACAAAATATGCTACATTTGCAACAGAATACTTGAATGGAACTGCACCAGAAAGGCCTGTGGAGGGCTGCTGTGGAAAATGAACATTGGATGAAACTGCTTGAACTGTCAAAAAACATGGAAGCTTAACATACATTTTGTGGGGTCACACAGCCTTCTGAGAGGTGGAAACCTTTCGCCAAAGGGCACATAGTGTAAGGAACCAGTCATGGACTGTTGTGAAGTTCATCAAACAAGGAAAAATTCTTACAGAAAATTTAGGTCACACCTTGGAAAATAAAACTGAACCTAAAACCCCAGTCATGACAGCTGTGGGTTGAAAAGGAGCACATGAAAAAATTGAGTTGAACAGCTTATTTTTGGTGTGCTTTGGCCCAGACTTTGATATCCCACCAGTAATTTGTTCTTGGATGATAATATTTGTGGAAGCATTGTACACAAATTATTTTTGAGGCAACAAATGGAAAATTTTCTTAGGGACATAGACATCTGAAAAACTCTAATAAAAACAAAGATCTGAGTAAGAAATGTGTAGTGCATCTCTTGCACTCTCTTGAACGAGAATGGAGAACTATGTGGAAGTTAAATGCTGCATACGCTATCAGATGGGTTTGACCAATGTTTGGTTAGTTTTACTGACCTTTTATCTTTTTTTCTGAGGCTAGCTTGCAGGGTTGGTGTTCAGAGTATTATAGTTGAAGGTGAATGTAATGTAAGAACAAAAGGCATCTCTAAAAATAAGATTAGTTTTTAAAACTTCATTTAGATTTCTTGGGGCTGGGGTGGAGCGGGTAAAGAAAACATAGTAGATCAATTCAGAGGATTGCCTATACTTTTCTCAAAACTGAACTGCTCTCCTTTGGACTTTGATTGAACTTTAATTTTTCATTTGGAGGTACTCATGAGCATTCTTTTGGAACCAAACTCAGAGATAATGGGTCCAGTTGTTCAGATTGCCAATTAAGTCTTGTCTTTAATCACAGTTATATACCAGTGTGCTGCTTATCAGATGCTAGCATTTTCCTTCTTTTGTATCTGCATTAATTGGATCTGAGATTGACAGCTTCTGAAATGTTAAATGCTTTGAGCTCTTTAGACTGTAACTAGTTCAAGTATCCTTTATATTATGGATCATTTAAATGAGTCGGTAATATATCCTTTGTCATTTAAAGTTAATCATAGCTCAAGTTGTAAGAGAAAGCAAAAACATTATAGACTGAGGCAGACTGCTTGGATTTTAGTCAGAATTGACTACCTTCATCACAAACATTAAGATGGCTAGAGACTGGCATTTTGAAAGATTTTGAGTATTCCAAAATGTGATTGTGAGAGAATCCAAATAGCATCTTTGATTTGCTACAGCACATTGAATTTCTGTCTTAGCTGCTGATGGCATCTGAATTTCATTTTGTGGACTTTCACAAAGTGTTCTTTTCAAGTTTATGAATCATCCACATGAAGTATCTGTTGAAAAACTGGATTTGATAGTCATGCCAGGCATCTCAATCAGCTGTTTGGAATGAGAAATAATGTGTTTTCAAGGAATTATCTATCTGGGTGCAAAGATACATCAAGCTGAATGAATTCTTCTTTAATATGCCTTGTTCAACAGTGTGCAGAACTGGCAAAACTTTAAATGATCTCATAAATCCCAGCACAAAAAATTTTACCAACTTGGAAATAACTTCCTTTCATTTACAGTATTATTCAGAATCTAGGCTTGGTCTTTCAATGTTTGACCCTATTTACATGTATGAGCAGGGTTCCCTCTATTTGAATCACATCAAAAGGCAGTTTGCATTTGAAAGTTGTGGAAAACAGCTTGAATTTATGCATGTAGCTAAATTTAACTAGTTATAATGTCAAACTTCAAAGAAATATGCAAAAAGATTACATAATAAAAATCTCATCAAAGGTTTATTTTTTTGAATAAAGTCTGTTACCACAGGCTTCCTTTTATTAATGTGCCAGTTAGCTATAATACTAAGTTGTGCGTTTTTATTTTAACAGATGGGTTATTTTACTTGTTTAACCACTTGTTTCGAATCTAAATTTAGTTTGGTTCTGGTTTGAAAAGGTTGCTTACCAGTGTTCTAGATCAGAGGTATCAAACACATGGCCCACAACAACACTCACCAATGTGGCCTGAACCAAAGTAAAATAATTGGGAAATATTTAACAAAATAAAAGTACCAAAAAACCCCATAGATAATGTTAATATGTGGTTTTCTAAGTCAGTCTGTGGCCAGCAGGGGTCCTTATGTTTGGTTTACTAACCACCCCGTCTATTCAAGTTTGACATCTCCAGAGGAAATCTTATAGGCAAAAATAATCTTAGTGTTTGTGTCCCATGGTGGACTGAGACTCCTTGTTTACCTCTCTCTCTCTTTCTTTTTTTTTTTTTCAATTGCTACTTGAGTTTATTTCATCCTTAGGACATTATTTCTGCTCTCACTTCCTGTTCCTCCCTTTGCAGCCTTAACCATATAATCCGTTCAGTTCCTTGAACTTTTTTCATTTATTTTTTTTCCTGAACTGAATAAATTAATAAGACAAGTATTTTCATATACATTGTAGAACAGAAGAACCTTATATGTGAAGCTGCAAACCTCTATTTTTTGAGTAGTGATTGCTTTTCAAATACATAATAAACTTACCATATCACTTTCAAAGCTGTCCTGCTTGTTTGTGATTCCTTCTGAAACTTCTTGTTTTCCATTCTTTTAAATCTTTTAGTTTAAAAATGTTAGAGCTAGGAGAACGTTTCTTAGATTAAAAAAATAAATTTCATGATTATAATTTTTTACAATTTAATATTGAGTCCCAATTTTCTATCCATTTGGATTTACTCTTAAGTCATGAGATTGTACGTGAAATATGACTAATAACTTGATTATTCATAGTGATGGAAGAGAGCAGTGATGTGATTGAACGTTAGAAACCAATTATTTTAAAAACCATTTATGTTTGAGGTTCATTAATGCATTGTTGATTGAGCTGTGAACTGGTCTAGCCTTTCTGCAAAGTAATTTGAACTATGCCCAGAAAGCTATTAAACTGAGCTTACCCTTTGACCCAGTGACATCAATATAGGTCTATACACCAAAGAGATCAGAGAGAGGAGAAAGATCCATATGTACAAAACTGTTTTGTTGTAGCAAAAAAAATTGGGAAATGAGGTGATGCCCATCAGTTGGGGAAAGCTGAACAAATTATGGTGTGAAGATGATGGCATAAGAAAAATAGGAAGGGGATGGTTTTAGAGAAACCTGGAAAGACTTAGATGAACTGATGCAAAATGAACAGAACCAGGAGAACAATTTATACAATAATAACAATATCGTAAAATCAAATAACATTGAAAGACTTTAAAACTCTGATCAGCGCAATGACCAGCCACTGTTTCAGAAGAATCAGGAAGCATGCTACTCACCTCAAGATAGAGAGATGGTGAAGAGAGTGCAGATTGAGGGATGTGTTTTTGTATTTTTGGACATGACTAGTGTGGGAATTTGTTTTGCTTAAATCTACATGTTTGTAATGGGTTTCGTATTTCTTGTTTTCTCATAGGAAGGATGGTAGGTGGGAGGGAGAGGATTCAGAGCTAAAAATAAAATTGAATTAAATTATTTTACATTGGGCTTTGTAAGGTGTCTTATCCTTCTGTTTAAAAACCAGTGTGTCTGATCTCAAGAACGTCAAACCAAATTATGAAGCCATGCTGATTTGTTATTTAATTTTTCCATCCTAGTACCCTACTTCCAACTTCTTGCCCAATTTTTTTTTTCCTGAGAATAGGCTGCATGAATTCACAGTGATTCAAAAGAGTAGTTTAAACCAGGTATCTACTTGAGGATGTAACCAAAGCGTATGCATTTGAGTAGACACATTTTATTACTATGGATACTGAGGTTTTCTTTGCCGCCACTTAATTCAACATAAAAGTAATAGTGTCAGTACACATTTAAAAATACAATTCATTATGCATGTGGTTTGTGGTAACCTTGACTACATGTGGGAACTTTGTTTTGTAGGTTTTATGGAAGAATAGCAGATAGATCTGGTTCTCATGATTCAAAGACTTTGGAAGCAATTAAAGAAAATGCAAAAGGTTTGGCTGGAATTTCTGGAGAGAGGATTTGGGTGGAACTGAAAAAAATTCTTGTTGGTAACCATGCAAATCATTTGGTTCATCTTATGTATGATCTTGATGTGGCTCATTACATTGGTGAGTACTGTTTGTGAATTACATGATCCTTTTGTGTTTTGTAACTTAAATTAAAAATCTAAGGAAAAGTCATGTCTGACTCAGTTCATTAGAGGCAATGTGCTGTAGCAGAAAGAGTATTGGATTTGAAGTTAGGAGAGACCTGTATTTAATAAATACCCTGTCTCTGACACTTGCTCTCCATATGTGCATAAATAAGTCACAACCATTCTGAACCTCTGTTTCCTCATCTGTAAAATGCGAATAATATCTATAGAATCCTGTGGGGTTGTTGTGAACAACAAATGAAATAATTTAATTTGTCAAGTGCTTTACAAACCATGAAGTTGTATAAATGTCTGTTGTAATAATTATTAGATCTCTAGGTCATGTCAAACCTAAATCCTGTGATTCTGAGGATTGATTATTCTGGAAGAAATAGACACTTGAGTAAAATGGAGTAATTGAAATTAGATTTTCAAATAGGCCTCCAAGAACATTCCATACCAAGAATATTTATTGAAAGAAAAAAGTCATGAAAAAATTGTGGGAGGGGAACAGTTTGTCAAGATAGGAAAAGAAATCGAGACAGGAAACAATGGGTTAGGGATCCGTTGGGTACTTAGTAGATGTGAACTGTTAGAATTGATCCCACCGTTTCTGTAATATGGGGCAGGAAGAGAGCACAGTGATCTAGATCTGGCGCTAAGTTTTTGTGATGGGAATTAAACTGCAGAAGATCTCATGAGGCTACAGAAATGAGGGTAAGGGTATCAGGTGAGCTTTCATGTGGGCAAATGGTAATGTATGTAGAGGAAAATAATGAACATGGGTAAGTAATGGATTCTGCTATCCTTTTTGACCCAAGGAAGATATGTAGAAGTCATTATGGGCTATTTCTAAAAGATGTCAGCACATTCTCCTGCAGCCAGAAAATTAACATGTTAGGTGTCATCAGTAAGGTTATTGGAAATAAAGTACAGAATATTGTGGCATCCTTGCATAAAACTTCTGTTGTTTTCTTTCTGCATCACTGTATTCATTTAAAGGAGATGTACCTCAAGAAAGTGGTAGGCATCTTCCCGATGTGAGCATCTGAAATCAGGGGAATCGAATGAAGGAAAGTCTCCAGTCAGACTGAAAAATTAGGACTTTCGGTTTGGAAAGATGCAGGCTTGAGGTGCTACATTAGAATATGGCCAGAGTGAATTCATGTTAAGCATATCCTAGTAGACTGTGGATTTAGTGACGCTCGTAGAAGTTTGAAAAACATACATTTCAGAAAGATGGGTGCAAGTCATACTATTATACACACTCTTTTGTGTAATTTCTATGTGGTGTGCACTTGGGGAATAGACAGAACAAAAGACATGCTTCAAAAAACAGTTTAGACAATTAACTGGTAACAGACCTAATGGACTGTCACGTGACTTGCCAGTTTGGACGTTCCCACTGTCAGTAAAGATCACAAGCCATCCGTGCCTGTCCATTCTGTGGACCATGTCTTCTCATGAAGGCAAAACCAGGCTCCATGACGCCTTCCTCATTTTCTCCTGACCTTTTGAGGATTCAAGTGGGGCACTCAGGCTGTCTGCCCAGAATTCCTTGACCTCACCATGTGACTATCCTGTTTACTTGGCGACATCCTCATCTGTCCGATGTTGCAGCCTACTCACACCCCCTCTAGGCCTCTCCATTGCCCTCTATTTGAAAATTCTTTTTCAGGTCTTCAGTGATTACTCTTTAAGGTCTCAAAATAACACTGACAGAATATTACTATTAAGAAATGGGCCTTTGTTTCTGGGAGTACTTTGGTGTAATTGAAGGAGCTTTGCAATTTCTTGAAAGCAGTTCAGGCTGCCTTTTTTTCTGTAATTCTTTCTCCAGTACATTACGAATTTTTATGGAAAATTGGAATATTTAGGCTGTATCCCCTAACTTTTTTTAGATTATCATAACAGAAAGGATAATACTCTCCCCTCCTTTTCTTGGTGCCACTGTTAGAGAGAATCCTTTACCATGCAGACTGTCTGACCTGGCACAGCATTTCTGTAGAGGAAATTATTTTATCTTTTTGCAACCTTTTTTTAGTATAATACTTTGACAAGGAAATAAATGTTTTTGTTCATTTAATCTATGTCTTTAAAACACAATTGTTTTCCCCCCTACAGGTTTACCTGCTGCTGGGAGTTTAGAGGAATTTAACAAAGTCAGCAAAAATGTTGAAACTCTTTCTCCTAAGCCAATGACTCTTTTGGCCTCATTATTGAAAGTACAGGATGATGTTAAAAACCTTGATTTGAGATTGAAGATTGCAAAAGAAGAAAAAAATCTTGGCTTGTTTATAGTGAAATATAGGAAGGATTTAACTAAAGCTGTTGATAGTTCAGAACCACTGAAACCATATCAAGATTTTGTTTTAGATGTAAGTATGTGATACTGATGTGGTTGGTTGTCTTAGTGAGAACTCTTCTTGAAATCCAGGTTTTATTGCCACTTAGGGTTTTCTAAAAAGTGACTAAGATTAAACTTGGGGCCCTCTTTTCTTACTGGCTTTATTTACTTCAGACACAATTTGTCAAAGCAATGATGATCAGCATACAATAAAACCCCAGAAATGGGGGTAGTGGAGAGGGCTGGATTCTGAGTCCACCATTGAACTGGGAGCCCTATAGCAAATGGCTTGAGCTCACTGGGCTGGAGTTTTCTCATCTGTAAAGAGTGGAGATTGGACTGCTCTTGTTTAATCCATCTTCAACATCTGTGACTGCAGAAACAGATGTTTTGTGAATGTGAGGGTGAGCCTAGCAATCTCAGTGTCACAGATTTAGAGCTAGAAGGAGCCTTGAAGATCATCTAATTTGGCCTCTTCATTTCACCAGTAAGGAAGTCAAGGTCTCAAAGAGGGGAAGTTTCCCAGGTGTTGTCAGTGGCAGAGCCAGGATTCAAACCCAGGTCCTGAGTCCAAATCCAGTACATTTGCCCATAGCACTGTGTCCTCCTTATTTGTCCCATTAGTCAGAAGATTCTCACATCCAGCAAATACTTGCAGTGTAATGGGAAAATGCTTGGTTGACAGTCAGAAGACCCAAATTTCAATTCCACCCTGGTCATTATCTAGCTTTATACCTCAGATACATCATCTAACCTTCCTGCTCCTTGGTTTCTTCATCTGTAAATAGGAGGAGTGGAAGTTGGATTAGGTGGTATTTTCCAGTGCTGGAATTATATGATTCATTCAGTGAATGCGCTTAGTAAAATGTACTTATTTTGCTCTATGTGTAAATTAATTTTCTTTGTTTTGGATTTAGTCTAGGGAACCTGATATACTTACTCGGATTTGTGAACTGCTCAAATACCAAGGAGAGGTGGGTCTTCTCAATGAAATGCAACAGTGGTCTATCCCTCCTTTTCCTGTCAGCGGCCATGATGTAAGAAAAGTTGGTATTTCTTCTGGAAAAGAAATTGGGTTAATATTACAGCAGTTGCGAGAACAGTGGAAGAAGAGTGGCTACCAGATGGACAAGGAGGAACTTCTAAGTTCCATAAAGAAGGCCTGAAAATGATTGGAGGGCTCTACCTGGATAATCTCTAAGGTCCTTTCAGGCTTGCCATCGCAAGAAACCTTTGACATGAAATGAATGGGGCTAAGAAGCAACACTCTTGATAAAAAGCCATTAGAAGAAAAGCCCATTTGGGGGACTTATGAAAACTTTGAAGTTTTTATATTTTAAGTTTGATGCACAAATCTCAAACTTACTTAATGGGACTGTTCCAGTCATTGAACAGAAGTGCCTAGACCACCATTTGTTTCACATTTTAATGGTAAATACAAACTTATTAACATAGACTTATTTGTGGTGTTTGATTTATTCCTGTAGAATTCCTACCGTATGCTGTACAGTCCAAATCAGACTGCTGGACTTCTCTAACTTCATGTTTCTAGGATTTTGAAACAGAGCAGATGACTGGCTGAAATAAAGATTTCACTGTTTACATTTGAGCTAGATGGCTACTTTTTAGAGTAACCAGGTATGCATGAGGATGAATGTCCATGTAATTTCAAAATAAAACTTGGAACAAAGTGATTGGAAACATCACATTTCAGTTCAGTGGACATTCTCTTTATAGTAGGCTTTTTCTTATCTTTTTACTGGCACTAAGTGTACCAGTGAGTGCATGCACTGTGTACGCATACACCCAGTGCATTTTGTTATTCAGTCATGTCTGATTCTTCGGGACCCCATGGACCACACCTGTCCATAGGGTTTTCTTGAAAGGTACGGCAGTGTTTTGCCATTTCCTTCTCCAGTGGATCTTTTTGTCAGGCAATTGGAAGTTAAGTGACTTGCCCATGGTCACGCAGCTGGGACGTGTCTGGATTTGAATTCAGGTCTTCCTCGCTTCAGGCCCAGCACTCTATCCATTAAGCCACCAGCTGCCTCTACACCCAATGTATAGGGGGCCCAGTTGGTTCCCTCAAATGCACAGCATGTTGGTTCATGTTTTAACTGACTTGATATCCCAGTGCTTATACTGGCTGCACATGTAGACAAGGCATGGCTTCTGTTAAATTGGGGGATAGGATTAGGGAGTGAACATACATGTATTTGGAGGGACATTCCATTCATTACATTTTTTTATGAGGTTGGAAGGAAGTGGTAGGAATCACGAGCCTATGATGGTGAAAATGTAAAAATTAGAGTTGTTATTTGGAGTAAGACAATTTAAATAAGAATGTTTGGATAAAAGATAACTGAAGCACACAGCCACAGTTCGAGTGGGAGGCAGTGATGCAGTGGGAAAGAATACCTTAACTTGTGTGACCTTAGCAAGTCTTATGATCTCTCCCTGGCCCTCAGTTTCATTTGCCAAATAAAGGGTTTGGATGAGACGGCGTCTAAAGCCCTCGGGCTGTACATCTATAGTTTTATGATCATGGGTCAAAGACAAACATATTTAGAGGCAGCTTGATATAGTGGGCATTGAGCTAGGCTTCCAGTCAAGACCTGGGTTCCAATTCCTCTTCGGACACTATCAGTTTAATCTTAGGCAAGTCACCTCTCAGCCTTAGTTTCCTCATCAGTAAAATGTTGATGTTGGATTTGATGACTTGTAGCTCAATCTGTGATCCTCTGATTGCAAGGACATGTCTCTAAGGCCATGTTTATAGATTTTGGAAAGTCTGTTTTGTCCAAAATCAATAAGATTTTGCTGGTTCTTGTAGAGAAAACAAGATGCAGCTTTTTATAAAACTATAAATAAAAGATGATTTGCTGATGACCTTGATAGCTTTAGAAAGATGAGTAAGTAAATGTTTCCCCTGCACAAAACTCTTATTTATCTCAGCCACTTTCCTGATTTTGACCTTTTTTTTTTTTTGCTGTTTGAAAAATTTTTTTAGCCCAGTTAATTTTTTTAAAATCCATTTTCCATTTGATTTCTTTCACTCACTCCTAATTGCTACCCTCTTCGAAGACTCTTCCGATAGTAAACACCTGATGTGTTTTGTAAAATGCAGCAATGATTGATTTGGAATGTGGCTCTTTTGTGAGCTCCTTTCATTTCATGGATCTAAGTCCCAAATAATGAGCACTAACAGACATCTTTGGGTTTATAACTCCTTTGTGTGGCTGTGTGAGTCGAAGGTCGGCCTGAATGAGGACACATCTCAGTGTTGACACTTTCAAAGGGTAGTTATGCTTTCAACTTGAGAATCTAGAAGTTTATGGAAGGTGTCTTCATTTAGAAATGGTTCATAAAAGCTATTTTATTTTGATAGCTAAATAAAAAAAGCATTTAGTCTTCCAGACAGTAGTTATTTGTGAGCATTAGGTGGCAGCATTAGAACTGCCAGAATGACAGTCAATTGATTATTGGGCATTTTGACTGGAATTTTAAATTAATTTAAGTAATATCATTAAGTACCTTGAGAAGAAAAAATTGAGGTGTCTGTTAGAACCAAGAACATTTTCTCTCCATCTCAGTATGCTAGCAACTGTAGGTGGCTGTTTTGTTTCTGTTTTTTTTTCCCCCATCAAGGCCCCAAAGAGTCCTACTTTGGGCATACCAAGTGGTATGCTTCAGTGTTAAACTAATTTTGTTTGTCTTATAATTCAAGCCTAAAGGAAATAGGATGGTTTTTGCATTTATTCTGTGACTGTTACCTTCCTGTGGCTTAATAGAGCCCCAAGAAATGCAAAGTAGAGGCAAATGATACTTAGTCCTTTGCCCATCTGGAGTGCTTTATATCTCATGAATATGTTTTGGGTAATAAGTACAGGGACTCTTTTCATGATTTAAAAATTGCCGAGATTCATCTTTGAATAGCTTATTCTCAAAAACAGATGGATTTTGGTATTGGTAACAATTTTGGCCATAAACTACAAGTAAAAAAAATGCCAGGGATCATCTTTGGGTGGACTACCGAGTTCTCTTCTGACTCTCATAGTTCTGTTTTCAGCTGCTTTTGGAGAGGGGGTGGGGGAGGGTGTTGAATGAGACTTGCCAACTCTGGTTTCACCTTAGGTTGCAGATTGAAGACTTGGGAGGGAGGGCAGGGAAAATATGAAGTATTAATGAGAGTTAACTGAATCAATAACTAAGTACCTAATCACTGTGACAGCACAAAATCATAGCTTATTCATAATGGTGATGCTGTCATCCAGAAAGTCAAATATTGTTGTTTCGTGTAATAATAGCATCTTTAGGGGCAGTGGATAGAGCACTGGCCCTGGAGTCAGGACCCGAGTTCAAATACAGCCTCAGACACATAACACTCACTAGCTGTGTGACTCTGGGCAAGTCACTCACTTAACCCAAATTGCCTCACCAAAAGAAAAAAAAAATAGCTTCTTTATGTGGTACTCTAAGGTTTACAAAGTACTTTATGTATATTATCTCATTTGCTTCTCAGGGTCTTACAAAATGTGTAGCTGCTTTTTATCCTCATTTTAGAGATGAGAAAACAGGCTCAGAGAAATCATGACTTGCCTAAAGTCCCCTAGCTACTAAGTTGAGGAAGGGTTGGAATCTTTGTTCAACTTTCAGGTCCACTTCCCTGTCTGTTATTCCAGTAGTCTTTAAAATAGGAGTTAGAGGCCCTGGAGGATGTATAGGATAACCCCATGAAAGGAGTGGCTTTGCCCTTAAGCAATGGGAATAACCAATGGGGAATGGAGGGGCCAGCTTGTGTCCATTTGGCCCCCCACACCTCCCTATAGCTAAGGGTGGGTTTGTTTAGTGGGGTGCAAGTCCCGCAGAGTGAGAAGTATATAACTTAACATGACCCAGCCACTGTAGAAATCATGATTGCAAACTTTTACCCCTTTTCCCAGATTCCCCATAACCTGATCCCCATCACTGCAGTGATGAGCTCTGCATACTTTGGCAGTGGGTAGTAAGCTCTCTGCCCCTTACCCCTTCTTCATTTTCTAGTGGGAGTGAATAATACAGGATGAATAGGCATGGATACATCATCTTTCCCCAAAGAACACGCCCCTCTTCTGAACTTCTTATTTCTGAGTAGGGCTCTACCAACCTTACAATTTTCCAGGTTCTCAACCTCATTAGCCTTGATGCCAAGCTCAGCTGAAGCTGCTATCTTCAGTTAATCTGATGATCTTTTCTCCATTTTCATCCTTCTTAGTCTCTGCAGCATTTGATACTACCCTTTCCTCCAGAATGCTTTTCTCCCTGGTTTGTCATGGTGCTGACCACTCACTCTCCTTTGCTGGCTCATCATCCATGATGCCCTCTACCACTGGGTGTACCTCAAGATTCTGTCCTTGGACCTCTGTTATTTGTTATTGGGTGACTTCATCAGCTCTCATGGTTTCGCCCCAATGCAGATAACTCAGATTTCAGATTTACTCTCTCTCTCTCTCTGGCTGCCCTCCCCACCCCCACCCATACACAACACATGGGTGCACGCACACACATGCACACATACACACGCTCTGAGCTCCAGGGCATTTTAAACTTGAGAAAACTTACCTTCCCTCCAAAACTTACCCTTTTTCTGACCTTCCCTATTTTTCTTGAGCATATCAACATCTTTCTATATCGCACAAGTTCACAGTCTTAGCCTTGGTTCATTCTGTCACCCTAAATAATCAGTTAACAAATCCTGTCATTTAGCTACTTCATTATCTTCCACATCTCTTTCCTCTACCACCACCACCATCTTAATTCAGACCCTCTTGGCTGGACCACTGCAACAATCTTGTCTTTGGTATTTCTACCTCAAGCCTCTACACTCACCAAACTGTTGTCTACACAGCTGCCCCAGTGATTTTTTCCCCCCCAAATTATCTGATCTTGTCATTTCCTTATTCAACCTTGGTGGTTCCCTACTGGCTCTGGTATCAGAGATTTCATTTCTACCTCATCCTTTTCTGTGTAAGTTTTATAATGTACATAATTTAGTAGAGTACGAGTTTGTAATTTGTAAATAAACATTTCAGGTACGCTCAATTATTTTTTACTGTAATAGTGTGATCAAAAAATTTGAAGACCACTGTACTATGTCATACTGCCTTTCTGGGGTATCAAAAATATTTTAGAGAGATCTCTCTCCCAAATGGTAAAATTATACAAGTATAACAATATATAGAACACATACACATGTATGTGGGAAAAAATGACTTGTCCCTACAAAATGTTTCATTAGGGTTTGTGGACTTAAAAAAAAGGCCACCAGAGGTAAAGATTAATTGAAAATGGCCTTTTAAATTACGTTTTCCAGGAACATTAATTTTAAAAGTGATTTTTTTAAAAACAGCCATTTTTTGCACAATGCATAAATTCCACTGTAGAATCTTAACTTCCTCATTTACATACAAAATAATCTCTGTGATTTTGGTTAAAAATGGGGTGTTAGAATGAGGCTGAGTAAAGCATAAATCCAAGAAATAAACTCTAAATTACCATTCAAGGATGTAGTATGCCAACCAGTAGGAGTTTATTTATGAGTGTGTGTTATTTTCCAGTCCCCTAATCTCAAAAAGCTAAAATCTAAGGGTTGTAACTACTGAAAATTCCGCTACACACAACTGTCACATCTATAGACCTGGAGGCTGGTTGGCTCTCAAAGGAAAACTCAATATTTAGAATGTAAAAAGGTGACAGTTGATATGTTTACCACTATTCTTTGCTAAATAACACTGACAGTGCAAAGCACATTAATTTCTTAGTGACTCTGTGACTTGTGTATGGGTCCAAAGATTCTCAATTACTTCAGATAACTATGAAACCTGCAATGCTATTCTAAGTCTAACCCAAGGGGCAGGTAGGTGGTGCAGCAGATAGAGCACCAGCCCTGGAGCCAGGAGGACCCGAGTTCAAATCTAGCCTCAGACACTTGACACTTACTAGCTGTGTGACCCTGGGTAAGTCATTTAACTCCATTGCCTAGCCCCCTCAAAAACAAAGTTTAACACAGGATCAGGTTTGTATGATTGTAGTCATAACACGAGGAAGACTGAAATAGGAGGCAGACTAGGAAAAATAAAGGGCTAACACTGGACACCTAGGCATGGTTCCTCTTTAGCCATCCGAACACCTGAATCCATTTTCTTTAGCTTCTATTGTGAAATATAATTAAATTTAATAAGTAAAATATAATTAAATTTAATGAAATATAATTAATGAGCATCTGATTCACCTGTATCACTATTCCTTCCATCCTGACACATATAGTAAAAAGGAAAAAAGAAGTTATATACTAACCAACTTTCTGGTGATGTTAGGCTGACCTTAGGCTATATCCACTGGCAGGCCTGAATACTAAGCAGTTCTGGTGTGCCAAGACCTACCAAGAATCCAAAATGAGGAGGCAATACCACAGGACTTTGTTGTACACTCGTGTCCAGCTCTTTGTGACTCCATTTAGGGTTTTCTTGGCAAAGATACTAGAGTGGTTTGTTGTTTCCTTCTTCAGCTCATTTTACAAATGAGGGACCTGGGGTAAACAGGGTTAACCGACTTGCCCAGGTCTCACAGCTAGTTAAGTATCTGAGGCCAGATTTGAACTCAGGAAGCCGAGTCTTCCTGACTCCAGGTCGAGCGCTGTATCCACTGCTCCGTGTAGCTTCCTAATACAGGACTTTAGTGAAAGACTTATCTTTTGACAAAAATCTCCGTGAAAAGCCAGCTCAATATTGTTTTTAAAAAAAAAGAAAAGTAGGAATACTGGTCTTACAAACCAAACTAGCTAAGTAGGGAAAACTTTATCACTAGATGTTTAGCCACCAAATGGTAACTTTTCTTTAGCCACAGCAATACTAAAACATTCTATGGAATTGAGAGCATCCCCACCAATGATATCAGAAATTTGAAAATCAGATTTGAAATATATATACAAATAGATCAAAATAGGTGTACAAAATTTCTCCATTATTACAACTAAATATATTCATACTTTTGCAAATCACAAGGAGTCAATCACAATGTTAGGGCTTTATTATTGTTTCTTAAATACTTGAGTTTAATTTCTTTGCAAATATTGGCAAGCAGTAAGACAAATTATTCTGAGATCTATTTCAAATAGCAGATTGAGAAAGTGAAATCAATGGGCTTCCTAACAGCAACTCTGCAAAACACCCTAGACTCTTGAAAACTTCGTATCTGAATTCCAAACCAGAAATATTAATGTACAAATAGCATCATAAAAAATCTCACAAAATAATGCAGACAATAAAATTAGAACACATAAAAAGAATCACTACATGCTACAAAACAGCTTTCAGCATTTTTCTTTTAACAAATCAAATGAAAGATACTTAAATTAGGCAATTTTGTTGATTCCTGGAGGTATTTTGTGCTACTGAAATGAGCACGTAATGGCAATTACTTCTATATTGTACAATTAAATATGGCTGGGATAATTCTAACAGAGATTTGCATTTTGCTGGCCAGTGTGGCATCATTCACTGCTACCTGAAATCGCCATCCTAACATTCAGATTCTTTCTTTAAAAGCACAGGGGTTTTCAAGTCATGAAAATTTATAATGTACAGAACTCTTAAGTCTATAGCAATACTATAAAATAATACATACATATTTAATGATTTCTCTACCTGTGATACTTCTGTAGCTAGGAACCACAAAAAGAAATTGGTCACTGCTTTAGTGATTTATCAGGATGTCATAAACTTGGTTACAACAAAGATGCTCAGGTCTATGGAATGCAAATAAAATCTAATTAAACTGCATTTTGAACTAGTTTCACTTGATTACATATGCATACAATACCAAAAAAGGAGCATATTTCATACTCAGATGTCCCACAATGTCAGTTTGATGTTTTGAAGGAATCTCATAAATTCAAGGAAATACAACAGGGCTGCGTTCAGTAGTAACTGAAAACAGCACCTTACCTTCTCCATTCCAATTTGAATGATGTGAATGTCAGGAAAATAATTTCTTTTTGACTATGGTACAGGTATGTTCTGATTTTTTGATTTTCGAAAATCTAGAAAATATTTTTAATTGGAAAAAAATCACTTTCTACTTACTCAGCATTGCTAATGATTTCTCCAGTACATTATAAAGGTAACTAAGTGAAAATAAGACTATGTTATGGAAATGGGTCAACTACACACTTTAATAAAAGCAAAGATATAAAGTATCAAAAATTAGTGGCCATTAGTTCCTTAAAGTTAACTGAAACAATTTCATAACTCTAAAATAACATCACATTCTCAGATTTTGTTGTACATTTATAGAATGTTATTTCTAAACGCACTATTTAAACATAGTGGAGCAGAAGAGAATCATTGCATACAATTTAATTTAAGAACTCCTTTATTAGTAAATTGATTTATAGGGTTTTTTTTTCATTATTTACTTTGAACATATAAAGGGTGAACCAAACAATATTTGAAGAAATTTAAGGTCACCAGTAGACTCCTACCTAAGTACGTTAAAAAAAAAAATTTAACATTTTTCTTATTATTTTGCTTTTGCTTTTACTTATCTTGTCCATTTCCAATAATAAAATAGGACATATGGTATTAGGACTGATAAATGAGCCGAAGGATGATTGCCACATTTTTAAACTTTCTTCTTGAAAAATAATTCATGTACTGAGCAAATTAAGTTTAAATGGGTACCAGTTTACTAAATACTAAACAAATATAATTTAACAGCATGACTCAGAATTCACTAATATTTTTGGAAAATGAGGAAAGTTTATTTGGGGAGTTCAAACTGTACATTTTACATCAATGCTTTAAAAGATTTACAAATCAACATGGCAAAAAAGCTCAATCAAAAAGGAAAAAGCCCTTTTTAATATATGATCCAATCTCCCTATAAAAAAGGAACACTGTACCTTACTTGCTTTAGCAGCAAGTGCCACTGATTGCCTTTTGCCATTTTTGTTACCAAAATGGCATTATGACCATCACAAATACCAGGATGGAGCAACCAGTCTCCCACCAGGATCCTTTAAGTAACATCGAGCAAAATGGAAATTCAAAATTGTGTGTATGTGTCTGTGTGCGTGTATACACATACACAAACTTGGAAACATCAGTGACACTCTAAAAAATATCTTCATGTGCTACCTCTGACAAACATCCCTAAAAATGAAATGCATTTGTAATATTTATTGCCACACATGAAGGATATAAGCCACAAACTGTTTTTAACAGCATTTTTAAAAACTTTACTTGGGTAAAAGTGGATGTGAAATTCAACAGGGCAGTGGCAAGTTTACCAAGTTATTTAGGATAGATATTCCTGAAATCAAACCTATTTGCTAAATTTCTTTTCCTCCTCTTCAACAATGAATTCAAATCTTCAGCTACCATTGTTTCTGAAGGAAGCAGCAATTCCTCATACATACAGCAAACCTCAGTGTAATGACACTTTTTACTTAGGTAAGCATCTGAAGAGAGTTAACTTCCCAGGCAGATTTGATTTACAAACACTGACTGACTGGTTCTGTTTCTTGTTCCCAAAGCAAATCATCAGATTACAAGCAGAGTAATGGTGAGCTGTCTTGGTTGGACGTGTCTTCAGTTTCTGGAATCCTGGGCAGGAGAGCAGATCGAGTTAACCCCCAAAATTTCTGAGGTGACATATCCTTCTTGGTGGCTGTAAACTTCCACCCAATGTGACTTGAGCAAACTCTGCATTGGGCAATAGTCCATGCGTACCTGAAAAATAAAGCAAGTACTCATGTACTTCATCTTTTAAATGATCATACATTTTAAGAGAAATCTATTTCAAATAATAATACACGGTTACAACTCTTAATGATACATAAGTTAACTATAACTTGAATCCAAATTCTGAGTCTGATACTCAGAAAAGTCAAATTGTGTTAGGACAAATACCTTTACAATCCAAAATATGCAGTAATTTGGCTTCTAAATCCCAAGCATTAGTTAATGTTTCTATAGCAACAATCAATGCAACAAAATTCCAGTACAAAAAAAGATCTGAGAGGGACACATGGCAGTTCTACTCTTGGTATTTCAGTGGAAGTGAATTCTTAAATACCATCTCACTCCAAAGAAATATTAGAATTGCTACTTTGCTCTAAGGTACCACTTCTTGTTTTATGTAGGACTGAATGCTCACCTGGTACTTCCTACATCTATGTAAAACTTTATAGGAAAAGCTTTTGGTTGGTAAAACCTGAAACACTGAGTTTTCTATCACACAAGAAAAGAAAAACTATACTAACACAGGGGAAACACTCTTCTGAGCAATCTAGAATTTTCCTTTGGAATCTAAGTTTACTCTGCATGAGAGCCCACGTATCGTGCCAAGGCCACACGCCAGTCTTGCACCTGCATTTTGGGTTATTCTGCATTTTCATGCTCACTGAGAACAGCAGGATCTGTTTTTATCCTCCCACCTGCAGAACTGTATACTTTTTCTACTGTGTATAAATTAAACATTTCAGAAATTAATGATCATCACACTAGGACATCAAAGGCATTCAAGATAATAATATTAAATTGATTCAAATAAGAATGAACCTATTCCAAAGTGAAGATGAAAGAATGTAAGGCCACAAGCAGCATAACTTTTTCACTGGAATAACAAATCAACAAAATATTTCTTATACATAATTTTAGTTATTTAAAGTACTCCGAAGGAGCAGAGGATTCTTATCCATCTTTGTTTCCCCTACCACATAGTACAGTGCAAAGTTGTTACAGGAAAAGGAAAAGCATTAAAAACTCCTTTTTCCCCTTTATCTACCATTTTGAGAAGTTAAGTTTTAACTTCTTATGAGCCATTTGATTTCAGGGAAATCATAAAACTACTAACCCCGCCCCCCTTCCCCCCCTGCCCCATCTGCTTGATTTTGGAGAAAGTCCTACTCCTCTCCACTAATAAGAAATAAGGTGACTTAATCCCTACATTTTTTTTTTCTTTTTTACCCCCACTCCCTTCAACCTATAATAACTGTAGAAACCAAGGTTCAGGGTCCTTGGCTATTGAGAACCTTGGACCCTATTTATTTCTACAACTGCATATGTTGGTAGATAAATTGTTGGCTAGATATAACTGCTGGGTGTTTTTATTCCACTATAATATGTTACAAGCAGTAAATATTTGAACTGACACATAATTCTTAATTTTGTTCCCAAAAGAAATTATTTGATAATCTGGGTGTTCAGTCCAAGCCTGGAAACTGATATCCCCCTAGGCTTTATTTAGCAAACTGAATTTTCTCATGGCAGAAGATGGGAAATAAAAGTAGAAAAGTAAATGATTTTGGAAATTTAAGGAGATCCTTAAATATTAAATCCAAAGGTTCTTTTGATTCTTTTTCTAGTTAAAAAGGAAAATTAATAATCAATTAAGAAGTAATTTCAATTTCCTGCTAATGGTTACCTATGTGATTTGGGGCAAATGATTTTATTCACTTGGGGGATTAGCCAGATGATTTCTAAAGTCTCTCAGCCTTGAAATTCCACAAAATACTTTTTGAATCCCTGCCACATTCAGGGCATATGGAGGCTATTTAGAAGTAACAACTGCTGTACTTGACTTTATAGAACTTACAATCTGCTTGAGACCACTCCACCCTAGTCCCTGACACATGACAGCATAGAAATACCATATTAGTAGTCCAACAAATGCTGTGAGGTCAAAGAAGAGGGAGGTTACTTATGGGCTGATATAGTGAGGGAAGACTTAATGGAGAAGTGGGAGTTAAGCATGGTCTTAAAAAATGAAACTCCTGAAACTACCATCAGCTGACTAGCTAGTGGGAGTAGTGATTGGTACCATAAGAATTTCTCCTTGACCCTATGCTACATATTGAAGGCACAGATGACATAAGGCTAGGGGAAATCATTAGCATAAAGGATGAAAAAATTAGGAACCACAAAGATGTCAAGAGTAGAGTGAACTGAAGACAGAATGATGCTATGGAAAGAAGACTGGATTTGGTGTCAGATGACCTGGGTTCAAATTATGCCACTGATAATTACTACCAATCTGACATGGGTTAAGTCATTTAACCTAGATGGGTTTCCTCATCTGTTTTCCTCATAAAGAATGGGAGGAGCAGTTTGCACTAGGTAATGTCTGAGGTTCTCTTCAGCTCTGAAATTTACTAAGGATAAATGTAAAGTCCTCTGCTTGGATTCAAAATAACAACTGAAATACTATAGGATAGGAGAGGTAAAGTTTGACAACAGGTCATGTGCAAAATTAGGGATTTCAGCGGACTTTTCTCTTTCTTTTTTTTTTAAATTAAAAAAAAAGTTATTTTTAGGCAATTGGGGTTAAGTGATTTGCCCAGGGTCACACTGCTAGTAAGTGTCAAATGTTTGGTCTAAGGCCGGACTTGAACTCAGGTCCTCGTGCCTTCAGGGCCGGTGCTCTATCCACTGCGCCACCTAGATGCCCCCTTTAGCAGACTTTTCAATACATCAACAACGTGGCACAGGAGCTTAAAAGTTCATGCTATCTCAGGATACAATAATGGTGACTCTTCAGAACACAGAAAGTGACAGTCCTGTTATATCCTGCCTTGATCAGATCACACTTGTAGCATTATGCAGTTTTAAGAAAATATAAGTATATGTGATGAAGATGAGGACTCACAACCTTGCCATATGAGGTTCTGCTAAAGGAACTGCGCTAAATTTAGCTAAACAGAAATGATGACTGGGGGCTTACAGGGGTATTATGGCTATCTTTAAGTAAATGAACAACTGTTATACAGAAGAAGAATAAGACGTGTTTTGCTTGGCTCCAGATGGCAGAACTGGGAGAAAAGGGTAGAAACTGCAGGAAGGTCTATACTGGCTCCTTATAAGGAAAAATTTTTGACAATTCTCACTGTTTACTACTTTGTAATATGATAAGTTCCCCATGACAGGAGGTTTTTAAGCCAAGGCTGGATGCCCACTTGTTGGGAATGTTATAGAGGGGATTTTTTTTTTTTCGTTCCCTTCTAGCTCTTTTTTATCTACCCTAAATTTAAACAAATTATATGAATATTTCCATATTCAAAAGAGAACAAAGACTCAGTACATGAAACCAAGAATCTCTTCTTAAGTACAGCTAGTAACAAATTTGTTAGCCTGTTCCCACATCTGTAAAACGAGCTACTTTATAAGGTTGTTGTCAGGATGAAATTAAATATGAGTAATATGTTTTGCAAACCATAATGTGCTATATAAATACTATTATTATTACTAGTTTCTTTGAGGGAGTGAAACCATATGGTACAGTGGAAAGTGCCCTAGATCTGGAGTCACAAGATCAGCTTCAAATACTGGCTCTGATACAATCCATTTGATCTTAGGTGGTCACCTAAACTCACTTGGCCTCAGTTTCCTCATCTTATAAAACAGGAGCATTGGACTAGATGGGTCTCTAAAGTCTAAACTTTGCATCTCCTCAAGTGCCTGGCTGTGTTCTCCATTTACCAATCATTCATTCGTTCATTCAACAAACATGCATTCTTATATTAAGTATTTAATAAATTATAACTTATCAAATTATACTTAAAACATTCTGCTTAGGACATTGAGCTTCAGAAGATTCACAGCAGTCTATACTGTATCATAGCATATTATGGCAGTCAAACATGGAGTATATTTTAATATGAATCATCTATCATATTTGTGGGATATAAGCCAAAACAATGTAGACTCTTTACCTTAGCTGTGAGTACATACTCTAAACCAACAGGGTGCTTAGACTTATGAATCATCCTTTATAAACGAGTACATATTAATAACAGGTATGATGACTTACAGGTGAATGTAACAATTTGATTAAAGCACAAAAGTCATGTATAAAAATTCTAGTATAAAAATTCTTCAGACAGTGGTGCCTACTCTGACACCAAGTAGTCAATCACTGACATTTGTGAAGCTTCTCTGGCATGGCAGACAACTATGGGCACAAAACAACAGGAAGCCTCAATAGCACAGTGGTGGAGACAACACAGTATTTAGAGTCAGAGGCCCAGGTTGGAATCTCAGCTCTGACACTTTCTCTCTCCATCCCCATGCCTACCCTAACTGTGACCTGAAGTAAGTCAATTTGCAGTTTCTTCATCTGTAAAAAAGAGAGCTGAACTAGATCTCCTTTAATATCCCTTCTGGCTCTAAATCCAAGATTCTGAAATCAGTGCATCACAAAGTATTTTACTTTCAGGACATGGATGACAGACTAAGTGTTTTTTGCCTCCAATTTAAATTTCACTTGAGGGTCACAGTATTTGGCAATCTCTTCTTCTTACCTTTGCATTCTATGCTATTTACTTATGTAAAAGGTACAAAATATAATGCAACAGCTGCTGTTCAGTATTCACAGATTGAAGAGTATTTCAGCAGAATTATTCATTTCATTTTATAGCTGTGACTAATTCTGGCTCAGGACTTTTGGCTTCCGTGTCTGATTATGGCACAGAATATACTAAACCCTAAGAAGTTAAATTAAAAAAATAAAAACAACATCAAATCACCACCAAATTACCCAGGAAACCAGCTGTGCTCTGTTGAAGATCGGCCGATCAGATTGAGGTTAGAAGCCTTGTACACTGTAAGCGTCTCATGCACATATCCGTGAGGATTCACGTATGCTGCCATAGGCCCACATAAGGACAAACTACAACAGATAAATCAAGAACAGCCATATAAATCACATTTGAATCTGGAATGAAAGTCTTTCTATTTAATTTTAACATACAGTGAACAGAACTGGCAAGAAACAGAAGGGTCTTGGGTTTAAGGTAATAATGATTTTTTTTTTCAAAATATTGGTTAGAAATTAATACATCTTGATATATGAGTACTATTAAGAGTCAAAAGTAGGAATTTCAAAATACAAACAATATTTGACAGTCGGCTTACTTCTGTCCAACTTAAATAGCTGTCTTCTGAAATGGTTTAATGATGATCAATAAAAATTCAATTCACTCATCTGATTCTGCCCTTAGAAATGAGTGCTGAACCCATTTTCAATGAAGACTGAAAAGAATCAATACTAATTCTCTAAAATACTTTGGCTTTTATAAGCAAAAGACATCTCTACAAGAACAAAAAATAAAATACAAAATCATAGGAGATACTTCCCCCCCTGCTCCTAAAATACAAAAAAACCCTCAATTTATTAGAAGCAGTTTCGTGCAGTTATTTATACTGTGGAAAGAGAACTAGGTTCTGCCTCCAAGTTGTTATGACCTACAGCAAATGCTTCGTACAGACCTCTAATGACACTTTGAAAATTCTGTAACTTCGTTCCTTGCATCTCTGAAATTTTGTGAATCATTAGCTCAATACAGTCACAACTTTAGAGTGGATATGCACGTGAAAATTTAAATTAAAAAAAAATCACAAGAAACATGGCATTGCTGCTGAGTATATTTCTTACTTGCTCCAAAAAAAAAATTAAAAGTTGATTACTTCTTATCCAAATAATGGTATTTGGTACAAGTTTGAAAATAAATTTGCATGAGATCATTCATCAAACCAAAAATCAAATGAGTCCAGAGTTAATCTAGAATACATGGAAAGAGCCAGGTGAGTGGTTAGGAGCCTTGTATAATGTCAGCTCCACCAATAATGGGCTGTGTGATGCTGAGGGAGCTGCTTCACTACTGTGGGTTTAATCTCATTTGTGAGGGATTTGAACTAGATGGTATTTCACGTCCTTTCTAGCTCCAGGATTTGAAGTGTATAGCCAATGACAAGATACTTAGATGATAAACGTCAACTTCTCTAACTGTAAGCTGGAGGCAACAATACCTACCTCTCTTCATGACACACATTATTGGTATTTAGGCTGATTTAGCATGTAAAAATAAGACCGTCTTTTCTACTCTTGGGAGCAACATATCAAGCCCACAATCACTGTAGTTACAGCCCAACTTTCATACTCTTCCTGAGGGAAAAAGACATCTGGGGATGATTCCAGAATCACAAAATTTCAGAGTTGGAGGGAACCTCAAAGGCCATCCAGGCCAATCCACAACCAAACCAGAGTATCCGCTAAACATATGAACAAGAGATCATCCAGCTATTTCTCCAGTGAGGGGGAATCCACCCTGAGGGAACCCAATCCAGTTCTGGAGAGCTTTAACTGTTAAGAAATGTTTCCTTATCTGAAGCCTAAATGTGTTTCTTTGCAAACTCCATTCATTGCTTCTGGTGGCAGACGCTGCCTTTAGAGGCAGGTGGTGCAGTGGACAGAAGGCTAAGCCTGTAGTCAGGAAGAGGAGTTCAAATTTGGCCTCAGACACTAACTTAGCTGTGTGATCTTGGCAAGTGACTTAACTTCTGTTTGCTTCAAATTCCTCAACTGTAAAATGGGAATGATTAATAGTACCTACCCTCCCTGGTTGTTGTATCAAATGAGACATCTGTAAGGCACTTAGCATAGTGCCTGACACACAGTAAGTATTTAATAAATGCTTGCTAGCTTCCTTCCTTCTAGTTCTGCTCTATGGGATTAAGCAGAGTTAAGTCTTTTCCTGTCACATGACAGCCCTCTTAAAAAACAATCCTACATCTAAAAACACTCCTCGTGGTGTGGCAGCAAGAACACTGAAGCAGCAGTCAGACAGCCTGGGTTTCTGCACCACAGCTCAGCTACTTCCTAACGGGCCTGTAAAATGAGGGGCTTGGGTTGTATCATATCAGTAGTTCCAGCTCTAAGATTCTTATATGACAATAAAATAGAGCAAGATGTTGCTTGGCTGAAATATAAGACAGCTGATGAATACTGATTAGAGGTATTAACTACCTGAGGTTCTGGAAATCAGAAGGACTCAGAGAACAAAGGGTTTTTTTTTATTTTATTAGAGTCCCAATTGAATATCAAAGGGATTACAAAGGAATTATTGACTCCTACAATTCCATAAGAGATTTACATGGAATAATTTATGATCGGTTTTTAGAAAAATATTACTAATACCTAACAAAGGCAACTTCATTAATTTCTATGCATAATTCTTAAAGAGATACTTATTGTATATAACTTTTATTTCACAAAGTAAAAACCTGAAAGAAACTTTGTACTGCCAATCACCTTTCCCAGTAATTAACAGGTAAAGGATTTTACATGAGTAGTGAATAAATTCACCGCATGAAATACAAAAGCATCTACAGCAAAACTGCATCTGTCTGTAATTTTTATCCTTGAACATCTTCCATTATTCTACCTCTTTTGTATTCCCCCAAACTCACAGCAAGTGTTCAATAAAGTCTTTTAACTGAATTGAACTGAATAAGAGTCTCACCTGAATATTTCGGTTTTGGTTGTGATTTCCGTTTCTTGACACTGCTTACAGCAAAGGGAGGTACACTTAAAAAAACACACACATAACAGTCTTAGAAGATAAACAGAAGAAAATAAATATATATTGTGTTAAGCCATCTCAGTAGTAAAGCTATCTAAAGCATATGATAAAACACATTTCTAAACTTTTCCCAGGCATTTCTATGAATGTCACATTTCCCAAATATGTTCCTTAGTTATTAAAAAAAAAAAAAAAACTGGGGAGAGGACAGAAAGATAGAAAGATCAGAGACTAAATTAAAAAAATGCCAGATCACAAGCTGATCAAAATTAAACTAAAATCAGAAATCTACCAGACAAAAAAATCAATTCATCCAATATCATAAGACACCAAGATAAAAATTAAACATTCTTTGCCCTCCAAGAGCTTATATTCTAATGCTGGAGGTTGGAGATGAGGTCGAAAGGGTGAAGACAACATTGTACGTAAAGAAATTTGATGCAAAGTAATTTGAGACAGGAGAGATGACAAACATCCTTGGGGAGATGAGGGGCTAACTTCAGAGGGATGGTACCTAAGCTGAGTATTGAAGGAAGCAAAGGACTGTGAGCCAAAGATGAGGTGGTAAATGCATCCAAGGCAGAGAGAATGGCTTATGTGTATATAAAAAGTATGAGATGAAATGTCAAGTTTGAGGAAAAACTAGTCTGGCTGAATTGCAGAGTCTATAAAGGGGAAGGATGTGATATAAAGATGGAAAGGTACACTGGAGACAGATGGTTGGGCACTTCAAATACCATGCTAATATACTGTGCTATATCACATGTGCTATATTATACCACACAGTGAAAACAGGAAGTACTGCAGATTTTTGAGCAGAATGGTGAGGTCAAATCTGTGCCTCTGGAAGATTATTTTGTGAAAAACAGATTGGTGAAGAGAGACATAAACAGGAGAGGGACCTGAACTTGGTTAGCGGCCATGTGCACAGACAAGAGGAATGAGGCCAAGGCTTGACACTAATTAGCAAATGGTGAGAGGAAGCTAACTCAAGATTGGAACTTGGGAGATCAGGCAGGGCTAGTGTTATACTCAACAGGGAAGTCCGGAAGAAAGGCAGCTTCAGGGGATAATGGACTCCGTTTTAAAGATGCTGAAATGCTGACAGAATGTCCTATAGAGATATGCAGCAGGCAGGCAGAAATACATTTTGTCTCCAAGTCCTCGATCTGACAGTCATTTGTAGGAAAAGATAAGTGTTCTCATAGGGTAAATGAGATTATCAAAGGAAAAGGTATGGGGAAAGAAGACAGGATGACCTAAGGCTTTAGGGGACAGCCATGGTTAGAGGAAGGAAGACAGAGATCTAGCAAAAGAGATTGAGAACGAGCAATCAGCAACTTGGAGGGAAAAAAGAGGAGAGCAAAGTATCAATGAAGTTAAGGAAGATAGAGTGTCAAGGAAGGGGTGATCACTGAAAGTGTCAAAAGCCACAGGGAAGTCAAGGAGGATAAAGACTGAGGAAAGGCCAGGGATTAGAAGTTAAAAGGATACTCAATTTCTCTTAATATTAGTTTCATGACACACCCATCAAACTGGCAAAGATGGTAAAACAGTAACAGTAACCCTGGAGAAGCTATTGGGACATAGGTACACAAATACTGTTGATGGAGATATGAGTATAACGATGCAAGAAAAGACGCTAAAGTGCGCAGACCATCTGAACCATCTGCCCTAATTGGGTATGTAACCCAAGGTACTTACTGACAAAGAGAAAGGTCTCACATATAACAAAATATTCACAGGGGCATTCTTTGTGAAAGCAAAAGAACTAGAAACAATGAGGGTACACAATGACCTGGGAATGGCCTAATAAACCGTGGAATATGAACATAACAGAATATACTGTACCATTAAGTAACGAATGTAATTCAAAGAAATAAAGACTAATCCTGAAAACAGAGAGGAGAGTAGAACCAAGAGGAAAATATAAACAAGGACTACAAATAAAGGAAAACAACACTAAAACGCTTCCCAACTCTTTAATTACAATGACCTGGTTCCCAGAAAAGGAGGAAACAACTCTCTGCTTTCAGCAGAAAAGCAGGGGACTACAGACAAAAGGGTATATTATACTGTCAGATACGGCTGAATTCGGACTTCACTCAAATTTTTCTTTCTTCAAAAGGAAGAACTTAACGGAAGGTAAGAGGGTGTACTGGGAATTCAGTATGACATTTTGGAAAGGGATATAAGTAGAAATTATTGAGGAATATATAAAATACTGGGGAATTTAATAACTGGGGAGATAGTTGTGGATTTTTTTTTTTTAAAGAGAATACTGATTCCACTTGGAGAATGGGGTTTTAGTAGTGGGGATTAAAGACAGAATTCCAGAGGCTGAGTGTGAGTAGATACAAAGTAGAGATAAGACTAGTGTTAAGAATCTGCTAGTGAAAGAGAAGACAGAGACAGGATGCCAGCTGGAGAGAACAGCAGTGGATGTGGCTGCGAGAATCTGAAGATAGAGGTTAGGAGAACTGAACAGGCTGATGAACTGAGAAGTCGGGATATCCTACGGGATATCAACCTGAAGAGAGGCAGAGTAGCATGGAGAGTAAGTCAGCTTTGAGTCCAGGAAGATCTAGAGTTCAGTAACTTCCAAGTCAATCTAGTAATTCTCCAAGATTATCAGCACATTGTCAGATGCTGATTTGCACTGGGAGAGAAATTTTCTATACCAATGAAATCATAGGTCCAGTTAAAAAAAAATACACTAAACTCCTTGAGAAAGAAGGAGGTATGACTTGAATGCTAAGCAGAGTAGCAACAAGGATCTGAATCAGGCAATACAGACAGAAAAGTAATCTTAAAAGGTAGAAAAGATGCAGGAGATGAATGGTCTGAAAGCAACACTAGGGAACAAGTATTATGCTGACTCCTCCACTGGAAGAAGAGAGACTTATTTTCCACAACTTACATTAAATAAACTTTATTAGATATATTCAATCTATTTAGGTAATGTATAGGTCAAATGATCTCATTAAAACAGTCCACCATGTCTAGAAAACAAATTCAGCTGAACAATTCATCATCAATATTGCTCTGAAAATTATAATTAAAGGATTGACTTATTAAAACAGTCCATTGTAATACAAATCTTTGGGATCCTAAATTCCATTTTCCTTCTTTCTCTGTTTAAAAATGTACTGTTTTTTAAAATTCTATCAAGAACACTAACATGACAATTCAGGTTGTGAACCAAATAGTTCAATTATCTTTAGGGAAAAAAAATTACTGAACTGTCATTTGAAAAGTTTATGTGAATCATTACTGGCAAATGACCTTTTCATTAAGTGTTGCAAAACTTTGCTACATATTAAATTATAAGGAAAATACCTCTTGCATGGAGTAGAAAGTGGTGATTTGAAACAACTCTGCAACAGGTGACTGTTACAAGTTAATTTTTAAAAAGCAATTTTCAAATTTAGGTAAGTTCTTACAGGGTTAATACAATTTCAAATGAGAAGTTACTCTGATTTCATGGTTCCTAACCATGTATCTTGATAAAACAGATCCAACCAACTTTGGACTTCATCAGGAATTAGTGAGAAAAGGTTAGCATACTCACTTTGTTCATAATATCTAGTTCACAACGAAGTCGCTGGATAGCACTGCCAATTTTAAGGAGCTGAATTCGTAATGCATCATCAATAGGAAGACAGGCAGCCACTCTATAAGAAAAATCTTCAAGACACAATGAGTTTTTCAGTTTAAAAACCAGATAAATAAAACAACCATATCTCGCGTGAAAGACACGCAGAGTCACCTATCTTTTGAAAATGGATCCCAAACAAAAGCTATAATATAGTGATAATGATGTTTTAAAATATAAACACAATACATCAGTTAATGACGGATAATGCCAGAAAATATTGCCAGGAAGTTCAAAGAAGTATGAATCATATGAACTGACCACACCCGTCCTTTATGCAATTTAACAAGTTTACATGTGCTATCCCTTCTTTTACAAGTAGGAGTTCTAATTCACAAAATGAGAAAATCCTCAAATTAAATCGATTTGAGAGTTATCTGCCTACAGAAACATCTATGGCAAATACAGCATTATTTTAATTACAACTATAACTTAAAAACAGATACAAACATTAAATAGTAGAGTAAGTTTAATCGAGGCAGCAGGACCACCTATAAATGCAAGGACTGATATTAAGTGAAAAACTGTCCTTTATAAATATCAAAACTTACTTCTCTGAGGAAACTTTGCTAAAATAAACAGGTATGAATCAAAGAGGCAAAAAATAAATAAATAGTATTACCCCTTCCTTTTGATTTTCTTTCATACTACTTTAAAATAATTTCCAGAGAATAAAGTTAAAATTCAAACAAATACTTCAGGTTTCAATGAAGTTAGAGTGAAATAATCCCATTTAAACAAATACCACGTTTTTCAACACAGTGGGCACTTAATGATTGTTTGCTGCACTAGATTAAACATTCTGAGCTAAAAATAACTTTCCATACCAATAGGATTTGAAGGAAGAGACTCATCTTTTAGATTTTCATCCCATTCATGTAGCTGTCTCTTGACTCTTTCCATTAAGGTTTCCTGTGGTTAAAATAAAACATTCACATTAACAATTTAACTCTTTTATTTGTTTATCAGAAAAGGTCAGAGTAAATAGTTCTTTACAAATACCGTACACATATTTTATTTTTTAAAATATTTTATTTTTCCCCAATTACATGTAAAAACAATTTTTAAAATCCATTTTTTTAAAGTTTTGAGTTCCAAATTCTATCCCTTTCTCCCTCCCTAAGACAGGAAGCAATCTGATATAGATTATACATGTGAAATCATGGAAAACATTTCCATATCAGTCATTCTGTGCAAGAAAACTCGAACTAGAAAAGAAAGAAAAAAAGAAAGAAAAACAGTGTGCTTTGGTCTGTATTCAAACATCAGTTCTTTCTCTGGAGGCAGATAACATTTTTCATTATGAGTCCTATGGGATTGTCTCGGATCACTGTATTTCTGAGAATAGCTAAGTCATTCACAGTTGTTCATTGCTGTTACTGTGCTGTACAAGTAATTTAAAAGTAAACAAGACAAGACATTTATTAAGTGCCTACTATGTGCCAATGCCTGTGCTAATAAGTTTAGAGGATACAAAGAAAGGCATAAACATATTTGGCATCTTATTAGCAATTCCACCCATTTCTGATCTTTAAAAAAAATCAATTATTTTTTGGCACTTCCTAACTTTGTATTATTACATGGATAACAATTATCTTCTGACACTCATCAGTTCTTTACTTAGAAAAAGATGGACTCTATTTTTAGAATAAAAAAGTTTTCTAAAGGACTTTTTATTAAAAATCCTAAAACATTTTTTTCTGTATTTCCATAAAATGTATTCTTTTGTTTCTCCAAGTTCAATACTTATATTCTTGTCAGTTCCTAAAAGTGAAAGAAAACATGACTTAGCCTAAATTCCAGATCACTCATTGAAGTACTTACCTAAATAAGTGAAGAATGGTATAGATACTGACAAAGATTCCAAGACAAACAAATACACAGTCTAGCAGGAGATCTAAAGTATACCACTGAGAACACTGAGTACAAAAGGCACAAACACGCTTAACAGAATGCTAGCCGAGTGGCTTTCGTGTAGCAGGCACTGAGACATTTGTGGAATTGAATGCTACACATGGCGATCCACTTCTAACAACAGTCCTAACAGTTTAGCTATCTTCTCTCTCTACACTCTTTCCTTCAGCAGACTCATCCATGTCTGTGGTTTCAATGATCACTTCTCCACTCAAGATTATCCACAGCACCTACCTTGGGCCGTCAGCGTGTGTTATCTGGGATCCTCATGTAAACACCTGTCTCTGTGCCTCTGCTATCTCTCCTCTCCAATCGCATCTTCCTATTGATAAGTCTGACCCTGTCACTCCCCCTATCAAAAACCTGCAATGATTCCTGATTAACTATAGAATAAAAACACAAGTTTGGCATTTAAGCACAATCTGGTTCCAATCTAACTTTTCAACCTTATTTCTCACCACCGGGCCTGCACATCTACTCAGTCAAACTATTCCCTCATTATACCCTCCTTTCCTCCATTTCTATGCATACACTCAGGCCGATCCTCAAGCATGAAATAAACTCCCTCCCCTTCCCTTCCTATTTAGGGCCACACAGAAGCCACCTCTTCCAAGAAGCCTTCCCTAATCTCCCCAGCTGAAAGTGCTTTCTCCCTTCTCAAATTTTCGTAAGAGTACTTTATATGGACTTCATCATTATCATTAATAAACATTTATTAAGTGCCCACTACGTGGTAGGCACTGTGCTAAGTGCTGGGGATTCAAAAAGAGGCAAAAGATAGTCCCTGCCCTCAAGGAGCGCAAAATGAAACAGGGGAGACAACAAGCAAATAAATATATACAAACAAGCTACATTCAGGATAACTAGGATACAATTAAAAAAGGGAAGGCACTCATCTTGGGAAGAGTGGTGGAGAGGAAGGGGGAGAAAAATTTTAAACTCAAAAGCATATGGAAGTGATTGTTGATAAATCAAAATTAATTAATATAAAAAATTAAAAAAAATAAAAGGTAAACAACAACAACAAAAAAAAAGGGAAGGCACGGACATTAAGAGGTGTGGGGAAGGCTTCCTGTAAAAGGTGGAATTTTAGTTAGGATTCAAAGGAACCCAGGGAAATCAATAGTCTGAGTGGAGGAGGGAGAACATTTCAAGCATGGAGGACAAACAGAAAATGCCCAGAGACAAAAGCCTTTTTTGTGGGAACAGCTAGGAGACCTGTGTCACTAGTCTGTGTGTCTGGGAGCAAGGCGTGAGAAGAAAGGGCAGAATAGGGGCTAGGTTATGAAGGCTTTGAATGCTGAACAGAGCATTTTTATTTGTTCCTGGAGGCATTGGAGTTTACTGATTAGGGGAATCACCTGTGCTTTAGGAAAATCATTTTGGTAGTTGAATGGAGGATTGGAGTGGGGAGACTTCTTTGTCCTTATCCCATTCTACCTTACATCATATGTATTTGTGGGCAGTAAACACACACAGCTACACCGTGGTATCTCAAGTGGAAATTCAGTGTTCCTGCAAGTCTTAAGAGATTCTCAGTAAAAGTTAAATAATTCACAAGGGTAATACCAACTTTCAGTATCAAGGCCTCTTCTAAGGTGTCTCTGAGTATACTGAACAGTCCTCTAGCCACCCGAATGAGGCAATACACTTTAGAAAGCAACTCCCTCATCATCGGAGGGATCAGACTTACTACTCTGGAGGCTTCCTTTCTTCTGATATTAAATGTCAGTTCACAATTTCTATTGTGATGATGCCCATGAACCCAGAAAAGAGCAGTTTTTAGCCTTCTGTGTATCACAGACCCCTTTAGTAATCTGGCAAAGTCCACAAACCCATTCTCAGAAAAAGGCTTTTCTTTCTTCTTTTAACTCATAATTGAAGGAAATGTGAAATTTTGATTAGTGAAAATAAAGATGTTATTTTGTTTTTCCCATCTAAGCTCATGGACCTCCAGAAACCTCCAGACCCCTTAGAGGTCAATGAACTCCAGATTAAGAAGAAACATAAGGAGAAAGAATAAAAGAGATGGGGAGGGGGGAAGAGGAAGGAAGGAGGGAAGTGAGGGAGAGAAAGAGTAGAAAAGAAAGTGGAAGAAGGTGAGAGTGAGAACATGAACATGAATGCCTGCACAAATGCTGGACATCTTGTCCTTTAGTTCTAAATGTGGAGGGAAGGATCTAAAAAGCAATCTTTCCAGTTCCCCAGTGCCCTTCATCTAATGAAGCACTGCATTTTTGGAAATAAAACTCCATTCAATATGTATGTATCAAAGTGTAGAGAGATTACATATTAACATCCACCAAAAATGAAACGACAGGACTTAAAAAATAAAAGATTAATAGAAAGTAACTTACAGCATCATATAAGGAATAGAGCCAGGAAGGCCAAGAAGTCAGACTTGCACAGTGAAACTTCCTCTGAAAACAGAAAACATATATTAAAATCATAAAAAGTTCCTCTGTATTAAAAAGGGGAGAGAATTTTCTCAAAAAGAAAAATCTACCCCCCTTCCCTTTTCTGCTTGTACCTTTTGAGATTAAGAAGCATTTATTAAGCACCTACTATGTGCCAGGCACTGTGTGATAAGCACTTTACAAATATCATCTCATTTGATCCTCACAACAATCCACATTGTGAGCAAGTAGGTGTAATTATCGTCCCCATTTTACAGCTGAGGAAACTGAGGCAGACAGAGGCAAAGTGACTTCCCCAAGGTCACACAGCTAAGTAAATGTTGGAGGTCAGATTCAAACTCAAGTCTTCCTAAATGCAGCCCTAGCACTCTATCCACTGAGCTACCTAGCTAACTGATTACTTCCATCTACATTATATGCTGTACATACAATTTTTTGCTAGCTGTTTCCACTGTTAGAACATGGCTCACTGGAGGCAGGGTTTGCGTTCTTGCCATTCTGAGTCTCCTCAGTGCTTAGCATGGTTCCAGATACATAGTGCTTACTGCTGATTTGTATCTCCAGTGCCTACAGCTATTTTGATAGTAGAGTGCCTTACACATAGCGAGCAATTAAAAAATGCTCACTGAATTGAATGGAAACTAAATTGTTGTATGATTTATTTTAAAATCATTTATGGTCCAGTGAAAGATTTTCCTATTTTAAAAGAATACATATCTGTATATGGAAGCCCTATGGATTTATTTCTATTGAAAGGTCAAAAAGTACTCTCTGTGAAAGTATGACAACCATTTTTATTTGAAACAGGTGGGCAGAAGGATAAACTACTGATGTAATCTCAATGCAATTCTGTTATATGAATCACCTAATCAATGAATCTATGTTGCGCACCAGCCGAAAAGATGCATTTCAACTGTATACTTTGAATACTACTGAAAGGTATGCATGTTAAAACAAATGCTGAAGATAACTTAGGAAATGTAAAAGAATAAAGTGGATATGAAAAGAAGAATGGAGTTTTAAAATATTACTGGGACATTTTACATAACTTCTACTTCTTATACAATCTCCACTGTATTTGCACTAAAATTTCAAAATAGAATTCAATGTGGAGTTAGAATTTATAGAATCCACAGTAAATGGGCTGAAAAACAAGATGTTATCACACAGGTCTCAATGTAATCAATATTTACTTACCTAGAACTTGCTAGTAACATGATGGAGTGAGAATATATCAAGTGGCATGAAAACATAGTAACACTTCCCCTCAATTTCAAAGGAAATTCTTTATTAACTTTCCCTCTAGATTGATATCTTTATTTTCAGAATATGGTTTAAGCCACAATCTATCCCAATTTCTCCACTGGAGATAGACAGAGATGCCTAGTGGACATCAATGGGCTACTGCACAACCCCAAAGACAACCTGCACACAACAAGTGGCAGAAAGAAACCACTGAAAGAAAAACGTGCTATACTTCATGCTGAAGTATATTAAAATCATCTAACCATGAGTTATCACAATAGGGTCAGAGCAGAACTAATTCAGTAGAACCAAAAGAGTTAGAACTTTTTCCGTTCACTTTGGAAGTTGATTAAAATCAACACCAAAACCTAAACTCTATAGTTCAAAAGGAGAAAATATCCAATATTTTACAGTGATACTTTGCAGATACTAGATACTAAATACTCTTTAGTGTTCAAGGAACGTAAACACAAAGTTCAACTGTCCTCCCACCCACCCAACAGTGTTTTCAAATACATCTGTTTTATGAATCATTCCTAATTTAACAGTCTAATTTTGCTCAGAGACCACAGAACTCTGGAACAAAGACAGAAGGCTGGTTATTAGTTCTACAAGGTGAGCCAAAAGTCCGTTTGTGTACCTATACTGAACACAAAGGCTTAACAGTGAGGAATAAGACATTTGGACTCTTGTAACACTAACAAGAGGCACAGACAGCATGAAAGCACAATATTATTGAAAATAAGTAATCCTGATACCAATGAAAGCTACAGGTCCTTCATGATACCAGTAACTTTGCTGAGCTCTTTTAATTAACATAGGCTTAAAATTTTGCTCTTAATGAGAAGCTTAGCCATAATATATATATATATAATACACCTATCTATAATAATCTTGTCTTTCAACAGCTCTGTATACTATTCCTTTATTTGCTACTCCATAATAAGAAATCTAAAGAATGTTATAAAAAATTTCAGTTTGTTGATATATTGCTAAGTTCCTAATCCTATATCACACAAGCAATTGCTGTAATCAACTGAAAATTAAGAAACCAGATTCTGCTTGGATTCTACATTTTCTAACTCACGAAATAATGTGGTACTTAAAAAGCAGTAATTAATGTGGATTTAAAAGAATGGCCACTTCTCCACCCACAAATGCACACACATTACTTTCACTTGCAAAAGCTGTTATTAAAGGAAGAAACAACTAGATTGTTGCAAACTGAACACTGCTGAAACAACATGGTACAACAGAAAGGCTTTAGGATTTAGAATCAGAGGACTTAGGTTAGAATCCTAGATCTGCCATTACTGACGTGTGACCCTGGGCAAGTTGCTTTTCCTCTCCAGGCCTCAGTTACTTCATCAGTAAAATGAAGAGGTTGCACTTAAAGACATTTTTAAGGTCTCTACCAGCTCAAATCTATGATCATATGATTCTATTTAAAGAAAGTATCTTACATAAGAATATTAAATGTTTCATACAACAAATGACTTCCTACTATAAAAGGAAAAGAACAGTGTTTTGTAATGAAAAGAATGTGGGGTTGTAGCTCTGATACTGTGTGGGAGAGTCAAAAACTCTCTGGGCCTCAGTTTCCTTATCTGTAAAATAAGGGAATCAGACTAGATGATCTCTAGACTATTCTAGTGCTAAGATTTTAGAGTTTATTCTGACACAAAAGTACCATAAAGTTAACATGCTACACCACATTTATTATTTCCTATCAACTGTGTACAGTTAAATAAACATTTCATCAAACAGCAGAAATATGTGAAAAAGAATTGAACACTTTTGCAGAAGAGTTAGCAAAAAATATGTGAACAGTTTCAAAATTCCCAAATTTTAAAGAAATTTTTGGTACTCTGGAAGAGAATTGTCTTATTTCTAGGTCACACTAATAAATTAGAAATTTATAGATATCCTTTTCTAAATATATTTTAGCCATATCCACAACATGAGTTATTTCATAAGAGCAGTCATACTTTAATCAATTTTTAATGGCAGCTGAAATGTGCTGGTGCCTCAGAAGTGACGATCGCCCTGGTTCCCCAGTGAAGCCCCCTTCATTTGGGGGGCACAGGGCTCAGTACTGAAGACCAGCATCAGTGTGTTTGATAAGGGACACTTCTTGGTACCAAGAGGCAGTCATCAATCTCTCTCAGGACTACTACCTTTTATTCCTTTTCTTGGTTTCTCCACAAGTAAGAATTTCAAAAGCAAATGAAAAGTAACTTAGAGAGGTTGTAAGAATGCAAAAGGGTCTAAGTAAGAGAAATAAAAGTGTTAAAACTCCAACTCAACACTATTAATTACACTTCCGCTGAAAGCAGAGGGCAATATTATAAATTCTACACTGTCCTACCAACTGTACAAATGAAACCTGCCACATCTTTTATCTAAACTTAGTTGTTATCCATTTATGCTCTTTTAAAAGTCCCCCTAACTAGAAGCAGGCAGCCAGAAAAATAATTTTGTGGGCTATTTAATGTTGAAGAGAAAACAATTCAGTAAAGACTAGTTTAAAATAAAAGCACTAAATTATAAACTCCTATTTTTTTCCAAGGAGAATGAAGGGCACAAGGTGCTGCAGTACAAGGTGACCATGGGACACTTGATAGGGCTATGGTGCCTTGATTTTGGGGTTTTGTGCTGATTCTCCTCCTGCCAATACAATAAGCTGAGAAAAACCAAGGCTTGGTTTAAGAGCAAAAAGGAGAAGGTTAGGCATTTTAAATGAATGTTTCTATAGTTTGCTGGTCTTAGAACCATCTTTAAAAATGACAATCTGCATACTATAGAAGAGCTCCCATTAATGAGCACTCAGGCAGAATCCCAGCAGGAGCAGACTACTCAAAGAAATAGCACTTTTGTTACACCCAAAAATATGGTAAATATACAGGTTTCTCGGCCCACTCTCACGACAGCAAGAGGCTAGATAAACCCAACAAGGAAACACTAACAGCTGTGTCTAGTAAAAGAGCAAACTGAAATAACAGCAAAGCCAAAGGTTTCAAAATAGGACATTAAGAAGGCACTAAAATAGGACTTCCCACTGGATGGTTTCCTAAACTGCTCACAGATGATTGCCAAGTGCATTTTTTTTCTATTTTGACTTTCCACTGCCAGATAACACAGAAAAGGGGTATGTTTCTTATTCTGTATTTCCTTTAATGTTCTGACTACACTTAGATAAGCCCACTTCCTGAAGCTTGGGTACTTCTCATACTTTTAGGGATGTGCAGACTTTAGTGAAAAATGTTCTACTCTGCAGGTGGAGAGAAGGCGCGTGCAAACAATCGCAAGGTTCACCGCATATATCTCAGGGACGCTACACACCTGGATCCTTTAAATTTCTGCAGAGGGTTAGCCTTCAGTAAGTCTGGATAAGCAGTATGGCTGGTGGACACGTCACTCTCTGCAGGTGATGATGTGCACTCCTGCCATTAAGCATCTTTTCTGCTGCAAAAGTGTGTGGCAACCTGATTAGCACATACTGGAGGGACTGAGACATGAAGCAGCTAAATATCTCCTGAACCACATCATCTCACCTACTACTGCAAGATGGAGACAAGGACCATTTGAACATTCTTAAAGACTCTGGAATACCTGGAACTAAATTTTGTGAAGAAAGCAATGAAGTGAGCCTTAGAGCTTTCTAAAGAAGACATTTCAGAGGAGTCAATCACATTAGCCAAAGTTTTTGTTGGCTATGGCACCATGTGAATAAGGCTCTCATTAGTGGTACCTGCATTCCCCTGTTCTGTTGTCATCACTTCCCCCCCCCCCCCACTTCTTGGCTAAACTTCCTCCTATCATGAAAACCTAAGGTCCAATGATTTAAGAGTTGCAAGATGCTTTCTGATGTGAAGATGACTGTGCTCTATGCTCACAACTGTCCACTGAATTTATAAACACCTTTGAAATACCAGACAACCTGGTTAAGAAAGATTTGCAAATGTAGTGGGTATTTAGGATCGTAAAGATACAAGTAAATAAGGAGTAATGCAGGTAAATGTTGGAAGATGCTGATTTCCAAATTCACAGCTCTGTTCCAGAGCGTCCACATCTAAGAATCACCACTCTCTACCCATAAAAGGCTTCCTTGGGTCCAAGTAAAGAGAGACTAGAGACCTCCAGCACTGAACAACATCTGGAAAATTTACAGAGCAACAAAGGCAATCCCTCTTTCTCCCACCCTGCCCAATGTGTTCCCCTCCTTTTCTTTCAACCCAGGAGGAGTTTAGGGCCAAAGGGCATAGGGACCATTTCTGGGGTTTGTCCTAGAAACATTTCTGCTTCCTTTCCCACCCTGCCTCTCTTCCTTCTTTGCATTCTCCCCTTCCTAGCTTCGCTCTCTTCCCTACTGTCAAAGCTGTCTCTTTCATCTCCATCTAATCCATTACATGTTATTCTTATTCTACCTCCTTTTCCCTCTGTCTTTAGTTTCTTCATTTCCAGGTGCTCTCTTCTTTTGCTTTTCCCCCTATTCTTCCTTTCTGTTGGCCTATCTCTGCCCTTACCATCTTTCCTATGCCCTCCACTTTAATGAGATCTGATTATCAAGAAGGGGAGCTGGCTAGCCCCATGTCCTATAGAATCAACAGGAAACCAGACAGGGCCAAACCATGAGATAAAGTGACTAGATGCTGGCTTTCCAGAAGGACAAAGGAGGAAGACTTAATTATTAATATATATTTTTAGGACCAAGACTGCGATTTCATTGGTACAGTAAATCCTTTGTAGAGAAACTTGTTCTATCTCTCAAAGGCAACTGGGTAGGCAGTAGATAGATCACTAGGCCTGGAGTCAGGAAGACCTGAGGTCAAATCCAGCATTAGACATTTACTAGTTGTGTGACCCTGGGCAAGTCACTTAACTGCTGTCTGCCTCAATTTTTGTCTTGGTGATCTCATTTTGGGGTTTTCTTGGCAAGAATACTGGAGTGGTTTGCCATTTCCTTCTCCAGTTCATTTTACAGATGAGGAAACTGATGCAAATAGGGGTAAATGACTTACCCAGAGTCATACAGCTAGCAAGTGTCTGGGGGCAGATCTGAATCCACAAAGATGAATCTTCCTGATTCCAGCCCAGTACTCTATCCACTACACCACCTAGCTGGCTCATAGCAGGTACTCTATAAAGGCTTATGCACCTCCCATCTCTTCCCACTCTTTCCCCTTCTACCAATGCAGATCAGCACCAGGCCTGCAACTTAAAGTCTTAGAGCACTGCCTGAGGCACTAGGGGGTCCAGTGAATTGCCCAGAGTCACACAATTACCATGTGTAAGAGATGAGATTTGAAGTCAGTTCTTGACTCCAAGGTTGGCTTTCTATCCACTATGCTTTGCTGTCTCTTGAATCATTAACATAAGAGGAGAAAAGCTATTATTTCTGAGCATAATAAACTAAAAACCTTTCCAAATTGGTGGGTGGGGGGAAGGACAGAAGAAAGGAAGGGATCCACCTTTTTAAAACACACACCTACGTAAATATTCAGAATGTGAAAGGAACTCCTTGGGGCAGGCACATACTTCTTCAGTGTCCAGAATAGATAAACAATCAACTGAATTTTGTATTGTAGAAAAAGATACAATAATGTAGTTTTCTAAGAGAAATTTTTAGTTCAAGCATGAAGATGGTAGCAAAATATCCTTACTTTCAAGGTACACTATTATAAAAAAGACAAGTCATTTTCCTGTAACAATTCTGATAACTAGCATTTCTGAGTCTTGAGAATTAAAAGAATCTATTATCTATTTAAGCTGATTAAAAAAAAAAAAAGGAAAGAAAACCTTCCAGTTTGCAGCTGTCAATATATACTAAAAGTAATGCGAGTGAAACACAGAATACAGTGAGGGGGGAGAGGAGGAGCTGAACATCGATAAAGAAGTTGTAAATGTCAGATATTAGTATTAATCTTGTTAAACTGTCAAGAAGATATAAGTTAGCAAGTTGTTTGGAGATGCATAATGGGAGCAGTTTGTATAATGCCTCTCCAGTAAGAATCCTGAGCCACTTAACACTAATTAAAAATCACACACTTTGCCATTACAGTCATTTCACAGGCTGGTAAACCGTAGCACAGTTGAGCTAAGTGACTTTCCAAGGTCTTGTAGTGAATCTGTCAAAACCATAAACCAAACCAGGGGATGTGGACAGTCAGGCATTTGGCAAACTAACCCACCTGCATGTTTAAACTCCTTCCATTTAAAAAAATAGAAAAAGAAAAGAATAATGGCAATAACTTGCTTTTGTGAAAAGAATTGGGTGACCTTAAACATTCTGCTCTCTAGTGATCTTCTGAGCTCTCTTCAGCAAAAGCATACAAAGGTACTTTGTTTTAACTGGGAAGTCTACAATATTATCTTATACTTCTGACAATCTGAAAGAAAATTTTAATTAAACACAGCCAATTATTCTACCTATAAAGGACCAGAGAACCTATAATGCTAAATCTCTATACTCAGAACTGAAAACTTTGTTGTAACTTTAAAGAACACACTCCTAGATGAAATTCCAAAAAACCAAAGTTCAGTATCAACCTTCCTGGTTAGTACAGTGGTGAATATCCCCACCTCTAATGTGGGAAACCAGGAAGGTTTTGTTTCCTTAGGCAGAAACAAACAAACAAACAAACAAAAAAGCACATTCTATTTGAAACCTAGAAAAGAGATATAATATCGTACACCTACAAATAAGTAACTGGAAATAAATCTCTGTTATTTCACTTTTGTAAAGAAAAAATAATTTATTTAAAAAGTTATGTGCAACTAGCCACTGCCAACATTTTTATGAACAGCAAATTCCAAACAAACATTATAATCCCAAATCTTTTTTTTTAAAGGCCATTTGTTCTAAGAAAGGTAAAGTTAAAATAAACCATTTTAAGTTTAAGTTAAAAAAATTCTGATTTTGTGCCATTCAAACTTTTTTTTACATTAAATATGCCTCCAGAAATAAAAATCAGAATTATATTATACAGTTAATCCATTAATGCCCAACCTGGGTAACACTTCTTATGCTTTTTCTGGAAGATCTTCCAAGTATATATTGTCAAAAATCATCTGAAGAATCTAAATGGGAGACCTGCAACAACTCACCAACCCCCTTGAGACCCTCAGGTGCCTTACTGAAAATATGAGTGGGTTGGATGAGCTGACTGCAATGGTCTCTTCTAGTTCGAAGGCTGAAAAAATTACCGTATTTATAGCGGGGCAGATCTGTAAATATCAAACACAAAACCTTGAAGTTTGCACCAAAATGCTGTAGGATTTGGAAGTGAATTCTGAGCAGTCTTCAAAACGCAAGAGAATGAGCAAATGGCTTTGCTTAATTTTAAAAGATGCAGAAACAACTTGTTCTCACCTTCTGATATTTCTGCCACCACTGAGGTGAACAGTGGTCTTCCCATGACACAGGTTTTGAAGATGGAAAAAGCTGACACCTACTAAGAGATTCCAACTGGATCGCAGACATGGTTGAAGGCAACACTCGCTCAGGAAGGATTTGCACTTTTGCTTGCTGTATTCTGTGGTCAAGAAAACCAAACAGAGGGAATGGTTTTTAGGAAAAACTGAATTCAGATTACAAGTTGTGGGAAGATACAGTCATTCTAAAAATACAAAAATCTGTAAAGTTACTCATATTTCATTAGCTACTACATGTCAATATACAAAACACTTTTCAGACACATTATACCATTATGTTCTAATTCCAACAAAGGATAGCTTGAGCTGGGCAGTTTAATCTTAACGTAGAATCAGCAAGAGGGATCTTGTACTAAGTTGCATTACACAAGACACTGGAGAAAAAAAAAGTAATTGAATCAAAAGATCCAAAAGTCAACATAAAATCAAGTACTGATTATCTATTCTGTGAATTATCTATAGCCCTTACAGGCCCTCCTTTGTTTGGCTTTTAGGAACAGCATTTTAGGAAAAAGAGAAAAAAATACCAAACAATCTGGCTAATTATTACACAGAAAAGAAACTAAAATAATGTTATTAATATATGAGTATATAGCACTTCAAATGCTTTCTAAAGCTTACAATGTGATTTACTCACAACACTCTAAGAAGTATGTCTTGTACAAATGTGTCTTCCCATGTTAACAAATTTAGAAACAAAAACTGAGGGAGAAGAAATAAATTAATCAAAATCAAAGGGTTATCTGAAGTAATAAGGAAGCTGAAGAGCAGAGCTGGGCTTTTGATTCCATGCCCAAAGCCTTTTCAATCAGGTCATACTGCCTCCTCCAGGTTAAAAAACTTTATAGATTTCAGATCTCATTCATTATTTTCCCTATTGCCAGAGAACAACTGAAAGTTGGTTGTACTAGGCAAACGGAAAAGTATAGGTTACTGCCCTCAAAACTGGGTGAAAAGGATTTATATTAGAAAGCATTTATCTTTCCTCAACACTTAAAGGCACAATATTCTAAACTAGTAAGGAAATAAAACACTTCAAATTTTATATACCATGCTATTTAATTTTTAAAAGTAGTTCATCAAAATATTCATATTTTATAGCATCTCAGTAAGATATTCAATGATTTTTTAAAAGTAAGGTCCCTGGTTCCATCATTAACTATATTTAAGGCTTCTAAAGTAACTTTTTAAACCAACTACTGCCCTAACAAATGAAGACAATGAAAGAGAAACAGATACTTGCATTTATATGTTCAATGGAACTAGTTACACATGCCCTCCAGAGCACGTAGGTATGATGTGAAAATGACTAACAACCACTCCTCCCTACTACAGTCTGAATTTGATGCCTCATCATGGCATGGAAGTGACCTTGGGTTCTCGAAGACTATGTCAGGGTAATCCAAGTCTGGCAGGTTTTACCACTCTGAGATGCTCAGCAACACAATGTGTCTGCCCTGTGTCCCTGTACCAACCTGGCAAAATCTGGCGTGGCATACAACCAAAGAGTTAGCTACTACAGCAAAACACAAAGGCTGCACTGATGGGGGAGCACTCAAAGAAATTTTAAAATCAATCCTTTAAATAAGGATTCATTTAACTGTTCACTAAACACATTTAGTGAAAATCTTTTGCCCTACCCAAACATAAACTAAAATGATTTTAAATTCTCAATCCTCTTTTCCCTGTTGCCCAGACGACTTGTTAAATAGCAAATATATTTATATGAATATGTACAGGATTAAAATACTCTCATCTCCTCAAAAGTTATTAATGACAAACTTAAAAATATTTTTGTCTAACCATGACCAAAAATGCTAATTTCATATGATAAAGCATGAATAATTAAGTTATGAGTAAGAGATGAGATCAGGAAACAACTACAACTAAAAAGCTTACCATGCATTTTATCAATCCATTAGAACCAACAAGGAACTATTTCCAAATATCAACTTCACGAACACATCAAGGCACTGGTGACATCCACAAGTTGAAAGATTCAGAAAATTCACAAGAGTCACAAACATTATTCAAAGACTGTGATATAAGACCTACAGGAAGATCCTCAGGATGCTAAGATGATTTTTCCTAGAAATGAAAAGGCTACATGGCACAAACTTCATGGTTATATGGGGTGATACAAAAGGGTAGCACCCATTTATTCTTAATCTCCCATCTGTTACAGAGAGAAAAGGAAATAGAGTGAAGTGATTTAAATTACACATGAAGAATTTCCAGCAAGAGTTGTTAAAGTAGTCTGTGTTGTCTTTTGTGGAAGTTTTTAAAACAAGGACAGATTTTCATCTTTTTGAGACAACATAACAGTGGTCTCATCCGAGGGCAAAGGGAAAATGCTCTTTCAAAGATCTCTTCTAGCCCTGGGTGACAATGGTCTTTATTATTAAGTCACAGTCATATGCTTTACATTCTTGAACCAGTTTCATAGGTATTGGTGTATTGCCATCTTGTGTTCAAACAGTAACTCTGCGGCTACCAAAACTCTCTGGTACATAGGAAACACAGCATCCGACGTCAATTGTTCTTTATGTGATATTTAAAAAAAAAAATCCCAGCCCTGCAGTTTACTTGAGAAAATAAAAAACAAAAAACAAAACAAAAAAAAAAAAACAAAAAACAACAACTCTGCAGGATGTGAATTTTTTTTAAAAGTTAGCAAAAATTATATTGATAAAATAGTCTGTAAAGTTACAATGCCTTTTACTAGATCAATTTACTGCTTCTTCCTAACCCGTTATATATTCCTCCATTCTGTTCTATCTCTCAAATGTGTTTGTTTTGGGATTTTCATACTATACCGCAAGGATGGGTGCAATTACCTCTTTATTGGAATAGTATTGTGAGTCGAAACCCAGGCTGTATGGAGTTCTTTCTTCTAACAGGAAGCATGATAATAATGTTCTATGACAGTATGAATATATGGAAAAGGTCAAATTGTGTGTAACACAATGCATACGATATAAAAATATTCAAAGCCTAATCCTAGAATTTCATCGGCCATGTGTACAAATGTACAAATTAGGAAACAGCTAAAGTTACAAGGACAATAAAGGGAAAACTTTTAAAGCACACATAGTAATTTCTTACCCATCTGATTGCGTTCTTATTTCAAGTACTTTGAACCTCTGTCTTCCTACAGCTTTCACTTTTACTATTTCAATTCCAAAATCCTGCTCTTCCCGATAGGCATATATTTCTGCTGTTGTTCCAAAATGTGCTTCCCTTTCCTGTATGTTACTGAAGACGTGGTTTTAAAAAAGAAAATGCCATTCAGTTGTCTAAAATTTCAATTTCAATATATGCAAAGCTACTAATGGCACTAAACATGCACAAACTTCACACAACAACTCATTGTTTGCTAAAGGCTCTTCTTTTAAAAAAATCACAACTAGATTTAGGTAAAGAGCATAAGCAATTTTAAAGAAAATGACAGGGATCTATCTGTCTGAATTCATTTAGGACTTGAGATTCTGTCAAACACACTTTCACTCATTTTCCACATCAAACATTAGCTGCGATTTTTCCTTGGATCCCCCCTCCATAGTGTTTCCTGCCCCAACCTCCAATTTCCTACATTCCTCTTCATATTATTTAAAGCCTACTCTTTCCATATCACTGGGTTGTATTTATACAAATCAAGGATTTATCATTTTGATAGAAAGTCTGTCCTTTTCAAAGTCAAGTTTTTTACATTAAAATATAAAATTTCTAGGATTAAAAATTGACTTTTTTTTAAACTTTGTACATTTTGTGGCATTCATTCAAGTTTCTGAAACTTTCTAAATTAAGAATACTCAAATCAATTCAAATATTTGAGAATATAACACAACGCATACAATATAAAAATATTCAAAGCCTAATCCTAGAATTTCATCGGTCATGTGTACAAATATATGTGTGTGTATACAGATATACATATATAAATGTGGATAGTGAAAGTCATCAACCTTCCCAAATGGTATTTTTATAATTTTATAAATAAAATCTATTAATTCATAGAATCACATGCCATCCCTGCACATGCACATGTTTACTGATTGACTGATGGACAGTAATCATCTGCTTTGTCTTCACCACCCTAGTGTACCACTGACTAACGAAAACAAACTATATAAAAATTTACTCAAATGTTTTACCTGTATGCTAGAACTGCAAAAGTTCTGTCTTTCTGAATTAAATTCCGCACCATGCTAACTTCTTGAGGGTGAAAAAGTTGAAGAGGTAAGGTTTGTCCAGGAATCAACATCATTATCACCTGTGGCAAAACTGGAATCACCTGACAGCTGTCATCATCATGCAAAGTCCTGCCATGAAATTCTTCCATATCAGAGCCCAGATACTATTTAAGAATACATACACACAATGACTTCATGGATATGAAAGCAAGATCTTAAGTTTATTAGATTAAACACTATCAATGTGACATAAGCAAATAGATATAATGTCATAGATTCAAAAGTCTAAATTGAAATATATGACATTTTAAAGCATTAAATAAAAACTACTCTATTAAGCAGCAATATATAAAGTTGAACATTACACTAAATTAATTATAGTGTTAATAGGATTCTGTGATTAAAGTGAAAATTACATTGGATTAAATCCAGAAAGTTTCCAATCTGTGAGCTGAGAAGTTATAGAAGGGTGAACATAAATCCATATGTACATTAAGCATCATCATTTACCTTCAACAAAACATCTAATGTTGATCAGCATAACATACTTTTTTTTGTAAACTGAATAAACAGTATCCTGCACCTGTTTTTCAAATGCACATGAATATTTAAGAAAATGCAAGTCCATTTAAAAGCATTTCTGAATTCAAAGTAGCCTTTAATCATTTATTTCCTAATTCAATGGATATGAATAATATGGGGGTCAAAAATATTTTATAATAAAAGAGGTTTCTTATACTCTTGGGAGCCATAATTCAAAATTCTTTTCATAAATACATATATGTACTTAAGTACAGCTTTTTCAAAACTATTCCATTACAGAAGGCTTGTCAATTAGTAAATGGCTAACAAACCTATCCATACAGAGTTATCATTAGGTTTTATCGGATAACACCACAATCACTGTTTCCAGTAAACCATAGGAATATGACAGCTAAAAGTAGCTCTGATCAGGATTATAACCAAAAGTACACACCATATGAGACGTTGGCAGGCTGGTGTCAAAATTTATGACATTAGGTTTTTTGGCTTCTTGGCTGTCCTGATCTTCAACTTCCATTTCATCATCTTCTTCACTTTCTGCTAATAAGCAGCAAAACAACATCATATTTTTTAAAGTGAATTCATTTGTTAAAATGCAATTATTTTAATGAAAAGAAACTTTCACATTTAAAGTTTGGGGGATATGTCCCTTCAGAGCAGAGGTTTTTAACATGGGATCCACAGATAACTTTCAGGGGATCCATGAACTTTAGAGAGAGGAAAAATACATCTTTGTTTTCATTAAACTCTAAATGAAATTAAGAATTTCCCTCAATATTTTAGAGACATTATTCTGAGCAGGGGTCCACAGGCTTCACCACACTGCCAAAGGGGTTCATTACATCAATAAAGTTAAGAACTCTTCCTCTAGAAGAAATGATCTCTTATGTTTCTAACATAAACACACCAAAAACCTAGTTTTCATCTGCTTACAAAAGAAAACTATATCAAAGAAAATTAAAAAAAAACAAACATCTTCAGTAGATAAAACTGGTAGAGTGGGAAGAACAATAGACCTGGACTTGTAAAACTGATGTGCTAAAAAACGTTTAACAGCCCAGCTGGTGATGCAATAGAGAGAGCTCTAGGCTTGGAATCTGGAAAACTTGAATTCAAATCCAGCCTCAGACACTCACTAGCTGTGTGGCCCTAGGCAAATCATTTACGCTCTGTCCACCTTGGTTTCTTCATCTGTAAAATGGGGATAACAGTATCAACCTCACAGAGTTGTTGTGAAGATCATGATAATATTTGTAAAACATGTTACACAGTGCTATTATGTGCCTGGCCCCTAACAGGTGCTACAAATGCTTTCCCCTTCTTTCTTCTAAGTTTAATCTGAATTATTAACATTTTCTCCATCACTTCCTTAACTCTAGACAATCAACAACACAATAAACCAATAACTGATTTGTAGCATTTGTCAATTTCTGAAGTATATTAAATGTTCACCCAGACAGTTGAACAACCAGCTGCTGGCTCAAGCCAGTGCCCAGCACCACCTTGACTTGTAATCAGAATACTACTTGGGGTTCAGAGTTATCTTTGCCCTTTACTAGCAGTGTGACCTTGGATAAGCCTTCCCTCACTGGTCTTCAGTTTTTTCACTTAAAAAAGTCAAAGGGAAGGTGCCCTGAAGTCAGGAGTACTTGACTTCAAATGGGGCCTCAGACACTTGACACTAGCTATGTGACCCTGAGCAAGTCACTTAACCCTGACTGTCTCACCAAAAAAAGTCAGAGGGTTTGCCAAGGTGTTCTCTAAGGTCTCTTCTAGCTCTAATATTCTGTTTATGGGATTTAATGATGGGTCATCTTTACTATGAGCTCCTTTCAGAGTGGGGGCTGTTTTTTGCCTGGCCTTACATCCCCAGCAGTAGATGCTTAATAAATGCTTGCTGACTTTGGAATCTTTGCAACATTCTTTCCAGTCATGCTAAATTGTGAATATTCTTTACCTTGGCTGTTATCAATCACACTAAACATGAAAAAGCACAGTGATTTCACTATGTGAAATTTCATTTAAGTTTACATTAAAAATAAAGCTATTTTGTGAGATAGCAATAGAAAATAATTAGAAGACTTTCACCAAATAACATGCTCCTCTGAAAAATTTGTTTTCTATTACACTACAATAAGGGACAGATCAATAAGTTCTCTTTGTTTATGCTTCACATTTTCAAAGCGAATTCAGGATAAACAACTTTAGAGGTGGTGATTTTTAGACTGTACATTTGCAATTCCATTAAATAAGTGCCTTACACATTAATTTCAGACCATACTATAGTAATAGCAGCTGGCATTTATATAGTACTTTAGAGTCTGCAAAGCACTTTACAAGTATTATCACATTTTATTCTCAAAGCAACCCTGGGAGTAAGGTCAATCAATCAACATTTATTAAGTGCCCATGTGCCAGGCACTGTGCTGTGCACTATGGATATAAAAAAAGGCAAAAAACAGTCCCTGCTCTCAAGGAGTTTATAATCTAATGGGGGAGACAACATGCAAACAAATATGTATAAAGTGAGCTATATACAGGATAAATAGGAAATAATTATCAGAGGGGAGGCACTAGAATTAATAGGGTTTGGGAAAGGCTTCCTATAAAAGACAGGATTTTAATTGGGACATAAAGGAAGCTAGGAGGCAGAGTTGAGGAGGGAGAGTGTTTCAGACATGGAAGACAGACAAAATGCACCCAATTGAGAGATGTAGAGTTTTATAACCCTCATTTTATAGATTAGAAAACTGAGGCAGACAGATTATTTGATTTGCCAGGGTCACAAATCCAGGAAGTGTCTGAGGAGGGATTTGAACTACAATCTTCTTGACTCCAGGCCAAGAAATCTTTCTACTATGCCACCAGTTGCCTCCCAATAGGCTTCCTCTCCTCTCTAATGCATTTTACACATCACTGCAAGAGGTGACAGGTCTCACCACACTCTTCTCCACCTTCCAGCTCCCCACTGCTTACCAAGGAAACACCAGATTCCTTAGGCCATCATTTAAGACCAACCACGCTCTGACTCCAGCCAAAATGTATACCACTCCTCTTCGTACACCCTATGTTCCAAGTACAATGGACTACCTGCTGCTCCCAATCTCATCCTATGATTTCCCGCTTCCATGTCATTCACATAGCCTCCACTCCTCCCACCAACAGAAATACTTTCCTTTCCTTTTAAACTCAGGTACACTCTCTTTCACCTTGACCCCACCCCAGCTATTACAGAACTCTGCCTCTTCAACATCTTCCCAGTACTTGGTTTGGCTCTCTTATGTACCTGTTTATGTTCTATCAATGTAGCTGTCTTATTCCTCACCCCCACCAACCAGATTATAGTGTCTCAATATCAGAGACACTGCCATCTCATTTTCATACTACCAGTGCCTATCACAATGTACTGCACATAGCAGTTGTAACCTCTTTCACAACATACACCCTACAGGTATATTTAATTTGGTATCTCTAAGTACATTCAGAATGGCAGAGTGTTTAGAGAGCCCCTTAGTGCCAGAAGACCTAGGCTTAAGTCTCACTTCTGACACATACTGACTGTGTGCCCCCTGAGCAAATTCTTGGTATTCTGAATAACCTCCTAAGGCTACAATTTGCAGAGAAGTAGCCAACCTCCTTTAGAAAAATCCTCACCGCAGAACTCACTATACCAATGAAATCACAGGTTTAGTCACTCTCCTATGTTAGAATTAATAAACAGATAGACAATGCATAAACAAAAAGATAATAAATGTATGCATATTATTTTTAATTTAATCAAACTTGAAATATTTCAATACATGGATATATATTCCAATATATGGACCAAATACAGTCCAGAATGAAAATGTTTCAACATAGTAAAGGTGTTGGTTTTTTTTTTACTATCTCTTGAAAATTAAGGAGTATCTATCAAAATCAAAGAAATTTGCTGCAAAATTACCAGGGCAATGATGAAATTACTTTGTATTAATTTTCATTAAGAATATAAAAATGTTCAATCAACTGAATGGTTCCTACCATGTAATTCCAAATATCTAAGAACTGCAATATGACAAATTCTTCTAATTTGTAATTTTAATCATTCTTTATACAAGTACGGTTGCATTAATTTTCAATCTGCATTGTAGAAAGGTGTCCATTATTTTGAAGTTTATAATTCTACAGCTTCATCAGGAGAAATTTAACATTTTTAGTTATAAGGTTAAAAATTTCATTTTAAAATATTACATTTTAAATAATCTGACTTCTACTATTAATTATCTTTGCTTAAAGTTTTCTTGTATAATGGTTGTCCTTGAAAAAAGATGTGGCTAAAGCCCACTTGCCACTACTTAGCTGTGTTATCTGTTAACGTTTCAGGGGGCCAGGAATTCTCATTTCTTAAATATTAAGCGATTTCCTTAGAGCTCAGTAGGAAAACCACACAAAAATAGCTTTTATTTCATGGATTTGCGAATAATGTATAATGTCTCCATCCAATTAAAATCCATACTCTTATTGGGAAATCATCATTATTAGATTAGCAACATATATGGGCTTTGTGACTACTGTTAATTCTTGACAAAATATATACCAACACTTGCTCAGTGTGTGATTTTTGTCAATTTGGTAGCCTATAAAGACTGATGACTCACTTTACTGCAGCAATAAGTACAACCCTATCTGTACTTTAACCTGTTACTGCTGCAGAAAAAACTAGATTTGATAGATAAAAGAAATTACCCTGCATACTGTTCCAGGGGGTGGAGAAAGGCTCTGTCTCTCTCAGCTGAAGGCTAAATGTAATTTAACTCCTAGACCAATTACGATTTAAATGGGCATAATAAGACAAATCAGCAAATTGGCCTCTGAGTGTCCAAACAACTGCCTGAGGTTTACTTTTTTTCAGAAAAAGGTTCTTTGTAACTGGTCTCCCTGCACCTATTCTTTCCCCTTCACTCTATGCCTGATTCTGTCTTCAAATTAATACAAAACACCCCTCTGATCATGTCATTCCCTTGTTCAAAAATGGTCAATGGCCACAGCTACTTGGTAAATTCAAAATTTCTTAGCTTGGATTCTGAGGTTCTCCATGATTTGGCCATGGACTACCTTTTCAGACATTTGTCACTAAAAGAACACTCCACGTAGCTAGACAGAGCTACTTACCTATGCCTAAACATTATACTTTTCATTTGTCTGCATCCTTGACCTTCCTTCAAGTCATTTTTCTCTCACTGACCCTATTTTAATTATATCCATCCTTCAATCAATCATCACCTTTTTTTTTTTGCCTCTTTCTGTATCCCTAGAGCTAAGCACAGTACCGGCCGATAACAGACGCTTAATGACTGTTTACTGATTGATCACAAACTTATTCATTGATTATGATGTGTCAGGCACTATGCTAGATCCTGCAGATACAATGAAAAAGCAAAAAAAACCATCCCTGCTCTCTTGGGACTTACAGTCTAACGTTGGAGAACACATTAGTAAATATCTACATAAAAACACACAAAGTAAATAACTACAGTGCTAGGACAACAAATCAGTACTGTCTTTTATGTCTGAGTTTATAATTAATTATAAAATTATTGTGTTCGCATTTTAAGCAGCGGATCAGGCTGCGGAGGTAACAGGAGTCCCAGCTTCCCCCCACTCTAAACTAGGGGGCCGCTCTAAACTAATGAGCTGCGCCTAAAACAACCCCGCTTTCCCTCTGTCAGTGTCCGAGAGCAGGGCTGGGCTTTGGGCGAGGACTTGAAATCCTGCCAGACACTAGGCGGGTGACCCTGGGCGAGCCCCTGGCCCTCTCCCAGCCTCAGTTTCCACGTCTGTCAAAGGGGCATCATCGCAGTTGCTGCTGGGCGCTTCGCAAGCCTCCATACCAGGCTCTGGGAAGCGTGAGGAGTCAGGGACAGACAGGGGAGCCACGACGCCTTCGGGGCGGCCAGGAAGGCGTCTACACCGAGGCCTGTCTCGAGCCGCGCCATCGGGGCGGGGGATGGGGAGAGGCTCCCGGGGTCATGGCCCGTACTCGGCCGGACCGGACGGCCCGCTCGGGGCGGCCCTCGGCAGCTGGCAGGGCGCCTCCATCCCAAGTCAGCCTTCATTGAACGCTGCTATGTGCCAGGCCCCGGACCACAAAGGCCGAAACGAAACGGCCCTACCCTCGAGGAGCTTACATTCTACTGGGGGGGGAGCAGGGGGCGACGACACCCGAGCCCTCCCCGGGCAGGGCCCCGACCGCCCCGAGGGAGGCCGGGGCGGCGCCGGGGACAGCGGCCGGAGGAGGCTGGGGAGGATCCTCGGAGGGGGCGAAGGTGGGGGTCCTGCTCCCCCCGCCAATACTCCCCAACAAAACGCCCCACCCTCTTCCTCCTCCTCCGCCCCCCGCCTCCGGCCCGCCGCCAGGCTTGCCCCGTTCTCCGACCCTCGAGGCGCCAGCCTCCGCCCAGGCCAGGCTCTCCCGGGTCCCCCTCCCCGCCCAGAGCGGGCGCCCCACAGCCCCGGGCCCCGCCTCCCCCGCTCCGCTCCCCGGCGGCGTCGGCAGCCGGGCGATTACCGGGCATGAGCTGCAGGTGGTTCCCCATGTTTGGTTCTCCTCCGCCACCTTCGTCGGCCATGTCTGTTTACCCGCGGGGCAGTCTGGGAAAAACCATTGCGGGCGACGAGACTAAGAGACGGCGGCCGCCAGGTTCCTGCGCTGCCCGGCTCTGGGCGAGAAAACCCGCACAGCGCCCTCTGCCAGCCCAGCGGCGCGACGACAGCAGGGAGGCGGAGCTGCGGGGGGGGCGGGGCGGGGCGGGGCGGGCGGGAGGGCGGGGGAGGAGGGCGCCTGCTGGGCTTCCTGGAGGCTGCGGAGCTCCGAAGCTCAGCCCCGCCTCCCGGGGCTTGACTGGCGGCTGCAGTCCTGGCTAAAGAAGCCAAGTATGATCCTTGTGATTTGTGCTTCCTTGGAGAAGGGGCATCTCGCAGACTCTGTGTACATGCATGTACACATTGTTGAATTGAATTCACTTGTAAAATAATTGTAAAAACTTTTGTGTTCTCTATTATAGACCAAAGAAGAGAATCACAGAAAATTAGAGCTACAGAGGACCTTTGTACACACACACATATCACACATGCAATATGCACATACATAGATGTGTGTACATATGCATGTACACGCACATATACACACATGCGTACTTACGTTTGTGTATACATACACACAAAGTGTTCCAAAAGTCACTAAGAATTTTGGGACGAGTCTGTGTATGTTCAGTCATTTTTAAGTTGTGTCCGCCTCTTTTGGAGTTTTCTTTGCAAAGATGCTAGAGTAGTTTTGCCATTTCCTTCTCCAACTCATTTTACAGATGAGGAAACTGAGGCAAACAGGGTGAAAAAACTTGCCCAGGGTTGAACAGCTAGTAAGTGTCTGAGGCCAGATTTTAATTCAAGAAAATGAGTCTTCCTGACTCCAGTCCTGGCACTCTACCCACTTCTACATCTAGCTGACTGAGTATATGCATATACATGTGATCCAACATATGGCAAGAAAATTTTTATATATATATATATACATACATACATACATATGCACACAAAAATACTTGTCTATGAATATTTATATGTGTGTATGTATAGTCATATGACTAAAAACCATTTCCCAGTAGATAAATGGTAGATAGATATGAACAGACAGTTCTCAAAAGAAATTGCTAACTTTTAAGCACCATATGAAGAAAGCTTCAAGTCACTCATAATATGAGAAATGCCAATCAAAAGAACCCTAAGTTTTCATCCCACGCACGGCAAAGAAGACTAATGACTGGGGATAGGTAATGTGGGATGGGCTGTAGAAAGATAGGCATATGAATGCATTGTGGGCTGAGCTCTGGTGCAACAATACTGCAGGTAATTTTGAATCACACAAGTAAAATGCCTAAAAGGTTCAGACTTCACTAAAAGGCAAAAAGCCTGCAGAGGTCACTGACAAAAAGAAAGGCTCCAAAAACCTTAAAAAAAAAACCAACTATAATATCAGTTTCCTTGGTGGTAAAGAAAGGGAAATAAAGTAGATGTCCATCTGTTGAAGAATGACTAAACAAACTGCAGTATGTGAGTGTAATGAAATATTACCAGGCTATAAGAAAAAACTGAACATAACAATATAGAGATGCAAAGAAAGAAATATGAACTCATGCAGAGTGAAGTAAGCAGAGCCAAGTACAGTGATGGAAATGATGGAAATGTAAATGGCAACCACAAAATAATTGAAGCTGAGTGTTGTGAAATTGTAAAAACAAACAAACAACATGTTTAGCCCCCACTAAAAGAAATAAAAGAAGAAAACTATTCCCTTCCTTTAAAGTGATTGAGGAACATGGGTGTGGAACATTGCATGTGATGTCAGATTTTGTCAATATATTGATCTGTTTTGGGGTTTTTTCTCTTTATTTTTTTCTTCTTTAAATTATTTGCTTCTTGGTGGGAGGGGACAAATGAGGGGGAAGACTGTAAGGGGAAATTTAAATGATATAAAAATAAAATAAATTAATATAATCTTTTTTAAAATTAAAAATATTTCTAAGGCCCTTTGTAGCTCTAATAATTCCGTGATTCTCTTCTTTTTTTCTATCATAGGAATACAAAAGTATCTGATTTTACAATTCAATTCAATAAGCTTTTATTTAAGACCTACTGTATGCTAGACTCCCTGCTAGGCTCAAGGATAAAAATGAAATTATCCTTTGCCTTCAGGGAGCTTTTATTCTGCTTATGAGGATTAGAAATGGGCACAGAGAAGTGAAGTGGATCCAAGGGAGGAAAAGTTGAGAGACAGGATCTTTGGGGAAGCAAGACTGGACAAAACAGAGTGGTGCGTTGGGAAGAAAGGTGAATCGAGTTGGAGGATCTAGTTTCGCAGTAATTTTATTTCCACTTCGAAATCTGAAAAGTGATGGAAGTTGAACTAGATGACTTCCAGAGTTCCTTCAACATTCTGTGATCTTATGATATGGGTTTGAGGGTCACCCAAAGGGCAATCAAGAAATTATGTAGGAGGAGCTATATAAAATATGTTATCAAAGAAATATTTAATGAGAAAATATGTGTACATTTATATATGCTGTTCACATAGCCTATATAAGCTATCCATATACTATTAATATGTTTATTTATATGTGCCACATACATATTTGTGTATATATATGATATTCATATAGAATATATAATTAATGCAGACTATATATACAGACTACATACATGCATGTATATAGGCTGTTCACATACAAATGCAAGGGATAACTGATAGGTATAGCCTATGTGTTCCATTGCTCATACAATGTCAGAAAATACAAAGAAAGTTCTCTGACTGTTGTACGGACCTCTTTCTAGAAAATTTGTGGAAGGTATATGTGGAAGGAATAAATGGCTTGAATCTCTGTGGTCAGGGCACACATATGGAGAAGATGAATATAGGGAATGCCTGGGCATAGGCATGGCTAGAAGAATTGTCAGATCTAAAACTGGAGAGTTGTCAATGCCTTTAATGATATCTTTATGAGCCCTCTATTCTTTCCCCCAGCCTTTGTGGTCACTGAGCTGCTTTCTCCTGCCATCTACTGGACTTTAGCTCTTTAAAAACATCTTTTGGGCTCTATTCTCCATTTACTAAGGAGCTACGGTTATAAAGCCTCTGCTTGACTAATGATGCTACTGTGTAATTGTTTATCCAAATACACAGTAGTGTACAGTACACATGCACCTACCTAGTATACCGCATCTAAATTAGAATTGCATGTTGTAAGCATAGAAGCAAGAAAAAAAACATCTTGCATAGGAAACAAATAGGTAATATATGAAATAACATAGATAGCGTACTATATAATATATAACATAACAAATTATGTTGCAGCTTCATACAAAGCATATGCATCCACCAATGGGTAACTGCTCCTCTGATTGCTTCTGAAGCATCATAAGTTGCCACGATTACGACCTGACTAGTACCGGCACTTCTACTGTGACCTCCTAAGCTTGTGAATGGCCTAGTTCAGCCTCCTAGATCATGGGATTCTAGACTGAGATCTGGAAGGGGCCTTAAAGATCTTCACACCCAAAGCCCCTCATTTTATAGATGAGGAAACCAAGACTGAGATATTAGATGGCTTACCCGTTGTGTAAGGTATAAGAGGCAGCATTTGAACCCAGATCTTGTCTCCAAGTCCAAAAAATTCATTACTGGCCTATAGTGGGTGACAGTCATTCTCTCTAGGTTCTATAAATGTCTTTGGTTCTCTGAGGACCTTCACAAGAAGAAAATTAGGCAGAAAAGGGGGTGCCTCTATGTTCAGCTCTCCTTATTTGGGACAGAGTCAGTTGTGTTCTACAACCTACGTGATGGGTATGTGTAATCAGTGCCACCCCATATGACTGAATTCTCCCTGCATGAGCAATTGTCTGGCTTTAATAGTTTATTAGTGACTGATGGGTAGGTTCTTCCCTGACGTTCTTAGCTGAATCATTCTCACTTCTCTCTTCCCACACACTAGGCAATTAAACCAACTCCCCTGAAGGGTAATAGGTACTTGTAATGAGTGATCCTTCCACTCTCTGAGGCCGTTTTGTAGACTGGCAACCAGGCCATTTGTTTGAAAACTGAGATTTTTGAGTAGGACTCTCACCTTTATTGACAGTGAACATGCACATCAATTTGTCTCTTGTTTCTCTGAGGGCTTCTCTGAGCTTAGTTCATTGGCACACATGAGGCTTCTTTTAACCAGCCTCTCAGCTGAGAGACATAATGGTTATAAACCTCTCTCTCTCTTCCTTCTGAAACTTCAAAGCACAAGTCAAATAAATACACATAGTTCTCATTGAGATATCAACCAGTATGGAAGCAAGTCTTAGTATAGTAAAGAACGGTTCTAGGATTCTTGATTCCTGGTAGAGCCACACCTCCTAAAGTAGTTCACTCTCAAAGTCTGCATTGGTCAGAGTGATTCTGGCAGGGATACCATATACAGATACACACTTCTCCCACAATGCCTTGTCTTCACTTGTAGTTCAGTCATGTCTGCCTCTTCGTGACCCCGTTTGGGGTTTTCGTGGCAAAGATACTGAAGTGGTTTGCCATTTCCTTCTCCAGCTCATTTTACAGATAAGGAGCTGAGGCTTACAGGGTTGAGTACTTGCTCAGGGTCACACAGCTAATAAGTGTCTGAGGCCAGATTTGAGCTCATGTACATGAGTCTTCTGATTCCAAACCCAGTGCATAATACCACCATGTCACTATGCACTGCACCACCTAGCGCCCTACAATGCCTTAACAGCTCTAGAAGCTTTTGGGTTTCTGGTTGGATATGTTTGTGAATACTTGGCACACAGTGTGGTCTGTCACTGCTAAGATGCTGCTCATATTTTTCCTCTCTCATTTCAGAAATAGACATATACATATCTTTACATGTAAAGTCCAAAGGTTTGATAGTAGTCATTGGTGAGAAAAGTAAGTCAACTAGAGATTATGTGATTTATCTATGCTCATATTGCAAGTCAATTTCAGAGTTAAGGTTTGACCATTAAAAATGCATCTTGCACAGTAGTTTTTAGGGTGTTCAAACTCTTATGCTGATCCTTCTCACCTCTGTCTGAATATGATCACCTGCCATTATCCTCATGGGATAGAGGGAAAAATTTTGGCGGCAAGATTTTTCCAAATCCCACAGTC